GTAAAATGAAGTCAGTGTCTCTACAACGGCCTCTTTAACATTAGGAGGCTGAAGGAGAGTATTGTTCTATTCATAGAGCTCACTATGAAACCAGTCCAGCAGAGAGGGAGACTCAGAGAGAGGACATCAAATTCATATGTCACATCCTACAATATGCACCAATGAAAACTTGTAATGTGTATTATGCAAGTACCATGGAAAAGTGGAACAAATTAATATTATGACATGAGCCTTATGATAGTCATTAGTCCTAAATGTGTTAGAAAGCATCACAAGGCATATTAAAGAATCTAATAGGACGAAGGAAAGCATGGAAAATAGGGCATTGTCATGGGGATACAAACCTCATGAGATATGATAAAATGGACATACAAAGATGCACACCCCCTGTGCTGCTTTGCCTCACCTGTTTGACACACCTTCAGTCGAGGGCACACACTTGGAGCTAATTATTTACCAGAGAATTAATACTGAATGAATGAGGAACAGGAATGTGAAAACGAGTTGTAAACATAAATTGCATTTGGACCTGAAATTCAACTTGTTTGAGCTCTTCACATCCAGTTTGATTTGAACTAGACGTTGGTGTTTGTTGGAAACAAAAACCAAAAAGTCAGCCATTTTTCTTTTAAGCGGACGATACCCGCTTACCTCAAAGCCATGCTTCTCTGACGGCACCCACACTAGCCTTTTAGCTGCCCAATCAGCTTGGCTGGCAGCGGTGAACACGGCTTTGGAGGTAGGAGACCCTGGCCCCGCCCCCGATGACAGGAAGCGGGTGACATCGTTGGCACCGCCCCCCGTTGGCTTGGTCATGGTTCTAATGGCACTGGACAAGGAAAGAAAAGGGAGACAAAAAAGGGGGACAATAAAAAGTGTGTAGAGACATTTTTTCATCACAGGCCTCGTGTCTTGTGGGAGGCTTAAAAATGGAGCGCTGTGGATGATGTAAAGGACTAACGGACAGTGACACTGATGTGTTTCTGTGTCAAGACACACACACACGCACATACTCCATGTGCACCCACCCACCCACACATAAAGGAAGAGCAGTAGTAGCACGCAAGTAGCATGCAGGCCATATCCTGCTAAGATTGGGTCAGGGATGGCCTAATTGTAAGACACAGCAAATCAAGGAGAAGAAGGGAGGAAGAAAGACGGAGAAATCGGTGGGTGGAGGGGTGAAGGGATGGAGGGTGGAGGAACAGCAAGAAACATCAATCGACTGAGTAAACTGACATGACAGTCAGAGGGGGAGGGATGGCAAGGAAGAAGGAAATTGGGTGGGATAGGAGTGAGGAGAGAGGATGGAAATGGAGTGAATGTTCTGTTAACTGAAAGAAAATGAAGGATCCTTCTACTACAGGCCACTGGACTAAAACTCACTCACTGAGAACTAGTGGGAAAAAAATGTTGGTTTGGACCCAGTATCCTATTAAAGATGAGGTGACAGCAGCGAGAAGTATTTACTACTCTGAAACATGAAGACACTCTCCAGTCAGAGTGACTGTAGTACTATAACAGGATGCTTCTAGATTTGCTCTGACAACTAAGAAATAATGTACGGCAGTGATTCAGTGAGAAAAGTCCCCTTGGTGGAGGAGAACTCGTGACTCTAAAACTTTCCATTGAGGCTAGTAGAAATGACATTGTTTCAGATGGACTAGTTGTTAAAACAATTGGTCGACTGACAGAAAAATTGATTGAGTGAACATAAAAAACGGGAAAACTTCCAGCTTCTCAAATGTGAATATTCTAGGTTTTTTAAGTCTTCTATGATAGTAAACAGAATACTTCTGGGTTTGAACTCAGTCAGACATTTGAAGACATTTGAAGACATTTGAAAACATTTGAAGACATTTGAAAACATTGCCATGGTCTCTTTGAAACAGTGGTGGCCATTTGTCGCTATTTGCTGACTTTCAAGAGACCAAACAATTAACTGAGTAAATAATCAGTAGATTAAACCATAATGAAAATGTTATTAATCGCAGCCATACAGATAAAAACCTACTGAATGTTAGCACAAGGCTATTGACATACATGCCGCTCATGATATCATGAATAGACTTATTAGATAGTAACTTAAAAAAAACAAAAAACACTCCTATCATTATTTATATTTAAGCAAATTACTTATAAGCTATTGCATCTTGATATATTTTTGGACAGGCTGTTCTTTAATGGTTCATAGGAATCTATGGAGTTTAATGACCTTAATTTAATGTGGCAGCCGAGATGAAAAGAAGAAAACTTAGGAATGAAACCCTTCAAGCAGCCCAGCTGGGACTCTGAATGATGCCTAACAACTGTCGATGGATTAATGTCGTAGTTGATGAAGTGATGATTTCACTATAATGTGTAACAGATCATTATGATTACCAAATTCGGCTTTATGGAGGAATGAGCTAACACATTGCCCACTTAAGTAACAACAGAATGAAACACACTTGAGTGGAGCAAATGTCAACCTGTCGTTCTGTATGGTGTATTTGTGCGTGTGTGTGTGTGTGTGTGTGTTAACTATTAGGCGTCTCCATGCCTCAGCAGGTATGTCATTTGGCTTGATTCCTGCAATGTATCTCAGTCTCAGTTTTTTTCTGCTGTCTGTTCATGACAGGGCTGAGTCCCCAACCCTGCCTTAACCATACCTGTTACTCCAATATGACTCTGGGTGTGGAGTGTGCTGACAAAAGAGTCGACACCGCCCAGCCACTCAGTATGGAAAATATGTGATTCCTCAGTGGCATAAAAACAGCTGTGTATCTGTTCTTAAAGGCTGGCACAATAGGAAAAAGTTAGAATATGTTTCTTATTGTTAACAAATGAAAAGACTAACCAACCACCACTTCCTGGCTTAGAGACAGGGCAGATATGTGACCTGTGTAAATAACTTACAGTTTAAACATAACATCTTCACGGTTATGAACAAACATGAGTGTGGCTGACTGATGTGTTTATAATAGTTTTTGGACAACAATGAAAGTCTATGCACAAAAGAGTTATCAGGCTTTGGCTACACAGACAATACTTTTTCATCATCATCATTAGTTCATTGGTCTTTTTATAGTTTTCGCTAACTGAGACAAATAGAAAGCCAAACTTTATTCTTAAAATATGAATCTGCCTACAAACCTAAGAGATGTAAGAAATTAAAACTACTAAGAGTTACAGTTTTAAAATTTGCATAGCTACATTATCTACTACAGTGAAACAGACCCGGTCATCACAAACCGGTTGATATGAACAACTCTTTTGTCCTGTGAGCATGATCAATCATAGAAGAAGACTTTGCATGCTGACCCTATAGCTGCAGTGTAGGATGCTGCTGGGTCCTATCAATGCTAATGATCCCCCTAAAGCACAGTCTTTACACACACACACACACACACACAGAGAGAGAGAGAGAGAGAGAGAGAGAGAGAGAGACCTCACAGGTTGTCGCAGTACAGCCTGGACTGACCAGCAAACTCGTCCTGCAGCAGCTGGAGTTTGCCAAAACCTGACTGCTCTCCTCCATAGCAACACTAAGCAGCAGCCCGCAGACAATACCGTGTGAGTTTTAACTGAGGTCATTCACTGCAGGGGGTCTGGTGGTCTATCTGTCTGCGTGTGTGTGTGTGTGTGTGTGTGTGTGTGTGTGTGTGTGTGTATGTGTGTGTAATTAATGTGTGGGTGCCTGCGCGTGATTGTGCGTGTGTTAAACGGGTGGGGGAGCAGGAGACGCCTTTTTTTTTTTTTTTCCCTTCTCCAGCTTTCATGCGAATTGCACCGGTGATGATACTGTGGCATCTGCGCACTTTAGCGGACAGTGAGGAGAGGTGACATTATTAAGCCACTGGCTATGATAATTACAGTGCGGCTGCAGAGGCAGTACAGCTGCGGTGTGACCCCTATAAATTACCTGCATTTGAGGACTGTAGCTCCAGCACACACACACACACACACACACACACACACACACACACACACACACACACACACACAAACTGACGAAGGCAACCACACCTTGAACATAAGACATGAACAATCACATGGGCCCCAGCCTTTAATTGACTCTGTGAACCGCATGCATGTGGCAGCCACACAACCCCAAAGCCTTTTTCACTGGGGGATAATAGCTAGGTGTTATTATTATACCACACAAAGATCACAGCAGGCCTATACCGTGTAATTATATGGGTCGAAATCCCTTGTAATATGGCCATTAGGCAGACACAGTTTTCCTTAGCCAGACTTCAGGTCATCTCGATGTTAGCCTCTCTTCGAAAGCGTACATAAAGATCAAACCAGTACGAACGCTTTTAGTCCCAGCAGCGTTTCATTTTTCGGCGTTATAACCCCGCATTTAGACCAACCTAGCGAGGTTAGCCAGCTCCACTGAAATATGATACGTTTGGGATATTACACTGGCTATTAACGAGTTGGATTAGAGTAAAGGCAATTAAATCTCTCACCTTCGGGTTCCGCTCTGTGTCGTGGATAAGGCTGTGGTGCGAGGAGAACCGGGGTGAGGCTGTTTCTTGGGTATTTTCCTGCCTGATAGGTGTGTAGCCTACCGCATATGCGGCTTTTATCATTGCACCGCTCCTCACTGGAGCCGCACTCACACTTCTCAGTGAGAATAAAGTAGACAGAGAGCAGTGAGGGCAAGGCGACGGCTTCAGCCCCGGAGACGGGCTTCCTGCTAGCGGACCAAACAGGTGCGAGAAGACGGTTTTTAGCCCAACCTCAATGAGAAATAACTCCAATCAAAATCTACAACCGAGCAGAAGACCCGCCTCATGAATACAACGGGAACTTTCCGCCCCAAAGCTGGCATGAAACGGGTGCGGCGACGAATAGTGTTCCGGGCTCCGCGAGAATCTCAGCCGTTAGCCAATGCTAACGGACAAGGGGCGGGGCTACGCGTGACTGACGTATCCAACAGCCAATCGGAGCGCGGCAGCAGGTGCCTGTGCGGCACTCTCGCGCTAAAGTAGGGAGATTTGCGCGCCCTTTGTTTACCAGTCAGTGGCGGCGAGTGTCCGCAGACACAGATCTGGGATCGGATTTGTTTGAGTCACCGTCCAAACACAACCTACGGTTCGCTTGGAATGATCTGACTCCAGGCGCGTGATTCAGATCAGCCTCGAAAATCCGACTGAACCCGCGTATCCGAGGTACCAGGCTCCCACACACACACACACACACACACACACACACACACACACACACACCGGTAAATATTTACGCCAATGTAATGTCTGATATGTTTTGTAGCCTTTTATTTAGTTAGTCAAATTAATATTTACATTTTGGAGTATTTTGAGTAAATAATCTGTGTAATTGTGGCTATAATCCTAATAAACATATTTTATAACATGACTAATATATTTTTGTACTTCTCAGTATGTCACTAGAGTTATGGTACTGACAAAGAGCAGAAACAAGCCTAAAAAAAGCGAAAACAAATGTTATCTATATATCTATATGTTTCTATCTATAGGCTCTGCAGGCTGTGGCTATAAAGGTTATTTTGTTCTGATTTCAGCAGTGATAGTTTGGCTGAAGCTACACCTCTGACAACACACTAAAAAGGAAATTAATACTCTTTTAAAGTTGTACAACTCTGTCATTTTATTTACATTAAGGTTTTCACATTCTTCCACTTGCCCCTATAAAAAAAATAAAAAATATTTATGGTTTGGTTTCAGGGTTTAGGTCCAAATTGTATTATGTGACAGATGGATATCAGTGGAATGAAAGAGTTGTGGCCATAGTAAATTACATATAACACAAATATAAGAAAAAAAGAGTATGAGCCCTAACAAACTAGTCTACACTTGCCATCTGGATTACATTTTTAAAGTGGTCCGCAGGTGTGCGATGGGGGCTACAAGGACAGCAACTAGGAGAACAAATAAAGAGGCAACCAATAATTCCAATTCAATCACAGTGTTTTATTTGCTCTACAACACAGTTCAGTTTGGAAGTGCTCTGTGCCTGAGGCAGCTCTGAAATTACATTTCAATGTTAGAGCAGAGGTTTCCCTTTCTTTTTAGAAAAATAACCTAGGAAATGTAGTTACAGCTTTTATTGGTTTCATCTCACTATATTAATAAAATGTATGTAGTATTACAGTATACTATGCATTTTTACACTATGTATATTATAAATACCTATGATTTAAAAAAAAAAAAGTATTATGTGTACTGTAAGTGTGAATCCTAAGCAACCAGTGAAATTACCAAATAATCCGTCTATTTCTTTCTGGGTTGTTTAAAAAGTGCTATCGTTGTCAAAGTGATGGTGCTGAAAGGTCAAGTTACATTTCATGGAAGTGGAGGCAGGGTGAACGAGTTGACCCACCATGCAGCCTATAAATAGAACATGGTGACCATAAAGGAAAAGTGTCAGGGAGGACACAAACATTGAACAGTATTAACACTAATTGTAACAGAGAATATGTTATCAATACCTCAACAACCCTGAGGTAACCATAAAAAAAAATCTTTCAAAAACTGGAGTGAAACACTGCGACTGATGCACTGAGGTTAACCTGTGCTGATCCAGCAACACTACTGTGCTGTTGTAGAGCTTCATTAGTGATATTAGTCTCCATGTATTACTTTTGTGCAAAGTACAAATAACAAGTTTCCAGGCTGTGCGTTGGAGAGGCTGATTGTTGGTCAACGCTCAATATCATGTTGCACTCCTGACACTGAGTTACATTTCCTTTCCCAACACCTTCTGTAATCAAACACTTAAATACTCAGGTGGCAATTTACTGCAAATTATTACAGGATCTAAAATTAACAAGAACATTCCAGGTGCTTCGTAATATCCTACAATACAATACAGCTAAAAGCCTCTTAATGTTATCAGTGCATGTTCATGTTCTCAGTTACTGAGCAGATTCACAGTAATTCATTTGCATAGACATTTTTTTGTCTACTTAGAACAACATACTGCAAATGTTAAATTGATTGAAAAACACCTGCATGAGTAGCATTATTATGCAAATACACACATCAAAAATAAGCTTTAAGCACATTTTAAACATGAAATTAACCGCTGCAGATGACGGGCCAGTTGCAAAATCTCTGGTTTGTTATGAAGGCACCACTCACTACACTTTTAGAATAAGAATAAGGTGTCACATGATTTTATGGGCACAAAAATACAGTATAATTTATACGAATGTGTGTGTGTGTGAATTTCCAGTTCAATTGTGCTGATGTTAGACAGTTGTTTTATTCTCAGACACACAAAAAATACGGGAAGCCAGCAACATTGTTAGAACACCTCTCCCACTCAGTTAAGCTCAGTTGTGTTCCCATGATGTTGGAGATGACTGTAGGCCTCCAGCGCATTTACAGAGTTAATGATAGCAACCCCTTTTGCCTTGGATTCAGTCCGAACTGTCAAGGGTCTTCAAAGTGTCAAGACACTTAAACAAAGATTATAATGTCATAGCTCAGTCGCAAAGTGCTGGAATCCAAAAGTATAAGCAAAACATTACAAATGTGGTTGATTTTAGCAACATGGAACATGAGAAGATACCGTAGATAGTAGTGCAAGAAAAAACATGTGGTCATTAACTGATCTGGACACAGACATCGTCATCTGTTTATCATCGCAGTGGTTTGAAAATAACTACCATGCTTCCTCTGACCACATGCCATTCAAGATTTAAACAAAGCAAATGTTACAATCAGTTAACCTTTTTTTGCATGACACAGAGAAAAAAGCCAAAAAACAAAACAACATACAGCTCGTAACATGGAAAAGAAACTGCTCAAAACCGCTGCTAGTTTTCAGCTGTTTCTCCATGTTACTGTTGTTCTGCTTTGGCTCTGCAAGTAGCCTAGCCTCATACTACATTCTCACACATCCCCCTGCTCAAAGTATCACAAAATGTGCACTATCCATACTTACCATAAGAAAATAAAGCATCAAAATGATAAATCAGCATCACAGTGGAAGACATTCCTGAGTTGTACCTCAGTAGGTACACTACCACTCATTTTTATACAGAAGCCACCTAAAATAAAGATCACAATTTCCTGCAGATCATAAAACTGGAGGTGAAGTTGCAGGTTAGATCCACCATGGGGTGCTGTTGTATATTCTGCCAGGCAGGCATTAAAGCCAGATGAGTGGGTTGTGGTAGTGATGGGCCAGATGTGAGACTTAGCAGACAGGTTTTCAATTACCCTGAAAGATTGCCAGGACCAATCAGACAACTAGGTCAGTGTAGTAACCCATCTCCCCTATAGACTGACCCCAAACCCCCCACTGTTTCTCTATCTGTCCATATCATTTCTATTTCTCTGTGCAATCTAATCTATAGAGTAGTACTCAAAATCTTGCAAAGCTTTAAAACGTCTAGTCGATCTCTTGACTTGCTTCTCCTGGACTTCCTATCCTTTATCCTGACATTGGAAAATCCATGGTCCTATCTACTTTTAATCCTGCCTAGTGTATCCGGGTCTGCCCATTCCTACTTATCTAACCCTCTCTTTTCGCTTGTTCTTCCTCTAACCTCTGGTCCAACTTCCTGTCTCTTTTCCCTGAAGGTCTCCTATTACACAAGTTCAGTTGTAGTGGAGATGTTCTGCTAGGGATTGTCTTCGGGTCGGTGGGGAGGGACATTCGGGGTCTTGGTCAGGCTCATCATCAGGGGAGACGAGTTGCAGAGCCACTTCATTCTCATAGCAGAATGACGAGCGTGAGCTTTGGATGTACTTCTGCTCGGCCAGCTCTTTAGCACTGCACGATGGTGTGTCCGGAATTTCATATGTCCTATGGAAGAATGAGTAGTCCACCTGGAAAAAGGGCAGAAGACAAGAATATATATATAAATTTTATTTGCATGATAACAAAGACAAGCTGGTGGCTCTGTGAGGCTATATTTGGGTAAATGCTTACATGCACACGATAACAATGCTTACATGCTGATGTTTAATGTTTACAATCTTCACAGTCTTAGTTTAGTGTGTTTGCATGTTAACATTTGCGAGCACTAACCACAATGTACAACCAAGGCTGATGGCAATGTCATTAGTTCTGCAGATGTTTGCTCATAATACAAAGTACTGGATATATTAAAATTTAGACCTGTTGATGGTGCTACAAACAAGTCAGGGGATCACCAGAGTCATTAGGATACATCATCTGCGAACCATAAATGCCTCTACAAACCTTTGTGCCAATCAATTTAATAGTTGAGATATTTCATTTATTATATCCCTAGAGCTACACCACTACCGTGGGTAAAAACACATAAGATATACATTAATCCCAGCTATTGTGAAGTAATGGATACCACTGAAGACAGCATTAAGGAAAGGGAAGGACTTCCAGACATCCTGTTTATATTGCTATTCTTCCTTTCTGACCTGGTAGCAATCTTTCCTCTCGAAGAGCACTGGTTCGAAACGGTGTCCCCAGAGGATTTCAGAAGCCAGATAGGAGCTACGGCACTGTGTGGTCATGGCTGTGGCCTCCACCATGCCCTCGAGTATGACCACCACCTCCAACTCAGAGTCACTCTCCAGGGTCTTACGGTCGATCTCGAAGAAGGGTGACTCGTCGTTGATCTCGTGGACAATTGTCACTGGTGAGACCAAGAAGATGCGGTCGGTTCCAGTGTCAAAACCCACGTTGATGTCCGCATTGTCCAGCGGGAGGAACTCTCCCTCTTCTGTCACCCTTGGCTGAAGTTGGGAGTGAAGAGTAAAATAAAGTCACTATATAGTACCTAATACTTTCCACATTAGTTGTGTTACGCAGTTATGATGTTGCAAAATTGATTTTCACATGTGGGATAATATTCAATGCAGACTAGAAACGATTTCCAATATGAAAAAACAACAGCCAAAGGCAGACGGGACATGGTTGAGTGAAATGAAATTAAACTGTAATTCTGGCTATAAAATGCAACACCATGGTATAGAAAAGAGGGACTTTGTATGTAATTTTAAATAAACCTGACACCATTTCCTAAGGTCATCTGAAAAAAACAGGAAATTAAATTACTTACCCTGACTCAAAAGCTTAGTATTTGGTTATTATTATATTTAGTTAAATTTGTCTATGCCAGTCTTTAGTCATACCACCCATGCATAGGCTTATCACTCACCCAACCCTTACTATGGAACAATATTCAGTTCCAGTATTTAGAATTGTATTTCTTTGATCCTCGCAAACTTAATCCCATCTGCCCTGTCTGAACTTTGATATGGTCATGCTATTAGGAGAGATCAAATTGTCTATGCTGTAGCCTCAATTTTCCACAGATTCTGACCCTCCGGACTGTCAGCATTCACACATGAATACACATACAGCATTAATAATGACAAAATATTCAAAAAAAGGAACATTCAAAATAACCCACATAATGCCAGACATCAAGGTAAACATTAGCATATAGTACAATACTCTAACCCACATAGAGTACACACAAGGGAAAATGAGATGACGAAGGACAATTGTTCTCAGTTAAAGAATTGTGGGCAAGTTAATCCATGGTAAATCTTCCTAACCCCTGAGGGAAAATAAAACAAGCTCTCATTAACGACAGTCCACAGAATACAGGCCAGATGGTCTCAGCACTCTCTCATCCGCTCTACTGCAACCTTTTTTTCCTCTACCGTTATCTCTCACAACAGCGGCATCTATTTTTTGATACATTCTTTTACTTTTCCCTGTTTGTCTGTTTTCCTATTTCCAATTTACCTTGTTGACCTTTTACTCAAAAAGGGAAAGGTCTCTTTTATCATTGCCATACTTTGTGACCTCTTTAATTTTTTCATCATGGTCATTATCCCTCTCTCTACTTACCTTCAGTAGTTGTGCTCGAACATGTGCTTCTACCAGGTGGCTCTTGCGTAGGTTTCCGACCCTCCACATCATGCAGAGTTTCCCATCCCTCAGCGCCACCACAGCTGTTTCAGAGAACAACAATGTCCCGTTGCGCTTCTTGGGCTTGGCAATCTTTGCCATGACTGCCCCGATGATGAAGGCGTCAATAATGCAGCCCACAATGCACTGCAAAACGACCGCCACCACCGCCAAGGGACATTCTTCGGTCACGCTTCTGAATCCGTAACCAATAGATGTCTGCGTCTCCAAGGAGAAGAGAAAGGCAGCCATGAAGCTGTTAACCTGGAGGAAGCACGGTTCCTCAACCACTGCCTCTCTATCGGACTCTCCTCCAGACCCGGCCTCTCCTGATCCCGGAGAGGAACTGGAGCTGGGGGTAAGCCGAATGGAGAGGTCCCCATGCATGGAGGCAATGAGCCAGAAGGCAAATCCAAAGAGCAGCCAGGAGAGAAGGAAGGAGAGGGTGAAGATGACAAGCATCCAGCGCCAGCGGATGTCCACACATGTGGTAAAGAGGTCGCTGAGGTAGCGCTGGCCCCTCTCGCTCATGTTGACGAAGGTGACGTTGCAGCGTCCGTCCTTGCCCACAAAGCGTTGTCGGGGCCGGCGGCTTGAGCGCCTAGTGCGCCGGCGGCTGGTAGTGGAGGGGGAAGAGAGTGAATCCTGGTCCGAGGATGACCGGACTTTACCTCTTCCTCCTACACGACTGCCTCTTTCATTCCTTAGTCCTGAGCACATTCCTGCAGCTCTCATCCCGCCTTCTCCTGCATCTCCTCCAACTGACTCTCCAATGGCACTCTGCCTCCGTGCATTGTTGGTGTTGCTCTGGAGAGGTAGAGTTTTGCCGTTCAGGGCATGGGTCGGGGAGGGGCTGGTTGGGGTCCCTGACCCCGTTGGACTCCCCCCTGCCCTAGCCGTGTCTGCAGCACTCTGTGCCAGCCTCATGACCTCCTCTTCCTCCACTGGCCCATCCACCACAGCACTGAAGCGGCGTTTCACACGTGCCGCTCCCATCATGCCCTATAAAGTCTCTTCTCTCTTATGGAGAAGTTCAGTTGCTCAGTATTCCTCAGTGAACCTTGACTTGCTTGTTGATGTGGTAATTAAGCGCCTTGATCCAGTCAAGTAAGTGTGTCGAGCTGATAACACAGTCAGTCTTTAAATCCCTCTTAATGAAGAGATAGTTGCAAGTCTATAGTGGGCAATCTAATAATTCCCTCCAATGCCATTGATCAGTCACTTGTTTAGTTTCCCCAACTTGTCATTCTGTTTCCTAGTATTGTCTATACATTCATCAACGGATCCCTAAGCAACAAAGGGGGCTTTCTTGAAGTAGGTCCACAGGTATATTCATTAACAATCAATGTCCTTAAATAATAAAACTCACTGAAGTAAGTGAGGTGAGCTGAAAAGAAATGTCAGCGGTAACCCAAGAGTCTATTTCTGTGATGCCCAGTTTGCAGGAATTCTTTTGACCAGGACTGGTAGGGTTGGACTGACCTCAACAGACATCAGAAAAGCATGCAGGATTGGTTCTGTTCAGTTCAAAACCACAAAAGGGAAGCCTCAAGCAGGTATCAATTAATAAAAGCTATAAACTGAAAATGCAATGGAGTAGGAAACATATCAGGGATATACAGCTCCTTACAAGGTACCTTCCACAATACTGAGACAAGATGCAGACATCCAAATTAACTTCAAATGGGATGATATGATAAAATCATTTCCAACATGCAGTCTAAAAAGCAAAAAACATGCTAATTCTTACGATCAAAGTTCTTCTCAATTTCACAACCCCTTGGTATGGGCATGAGGAAACAAAGAATACAACACTTTTAGTACATCAAATGCCTACTGTCATTATTCGTCATTCAGAATACAGTGCCAATACATCTTGGATAAAGCATTAAATATAGTACACATAATTTCATAAGTAGGTTCAAACGATGTATCTGTTACAGCAGCCTTAGAGTAGTCTTGCAACTTGCAGTTGTCTTAATAAGTCAAGGAAATGTCACTTTTACCCAACAAGAGGGCCCCAACTGGAAGAATCATGTCACTGCTTTCACAATTTCACATTGTTTTTCAAAGGGTCTGCATATCTGTTTAATGGCCATTGTTAATCTGGTGAAGATCAAATCTACTGACTGTTGTGTGGATAATACTGACCTGAACTACACGGCTGTTAGCAATCACCTGCAACAGTTAGTGTCTCAGAGCAGACATACCTCATTACAGCTCAGCATTACGGCTGAGAAATCGCCACGGCCTGACAAAAGATAAGAAGAAGGGAAGAAAACAGCAGAGAGAGATTACTTTGATCTATCTCCAACATTACTCAGGATTTTAACTTTAAGTGGCCGATTTATATGAGGGAAAAGGTAAGCACACAGGTCACCTGAGGAAGTTTTCTAGTTTTCTGGAGGTCTGGAGCCAAAATCAGGTGTATGCCACTGAAGGAGAAGAGCTGAGAAGAGCTGAGAACTAAGGCGGCTGAGAGGGTAACTATAGTGGACTATAGTCTCTAGCTCAGCATCTCTGTTTGAACCAAATCACAAAAGGCTATGTGAACATCAGTGAGAGTTTCCACAAATAAAATAAAAAAAATGTATATGCAAAGAAAAATGTGCAAATATATCAGGCAATGTAAATGTATGCTTGTAGTGTTTAGTTAGTATCTACCTTGCCCAACCATTTGCATAGAACTCTACAACTGAATCCCGGCCTATACAAGAGTGTCCACATCCAGTCTCTTTGGAACAGTGGACAGAATCCAACCCTCAACTGTAACCCAGCACTGTAGCAAGTACAATGAGAACTGTAAAATAATAGACAAGAGCTACTGCTATAACTGTACAAATATAAAAGAGGCCATTTCATTCAACCAGTAACAGACAGATAGACAAAAGTCTACAACAAATGGAAATGGGGAAATAGATCCCTCCTGAAGTGTGAGGTGACATAAGGGTTCATCTTCGCTTGTGTATTGATGTCTCTTTATGACACATGCTCAGTAAAATCATTGAGCTTTCGGGGAAAGAGTCTCTTTCTTGGTCGTCTTTACTGAGGTGTTGGTTGTCTGTTTTGTATCCCTTTGTTTAGGACCTTCTTGTTTAACACACTGCCTGTCTTGAGAAGAAAAAAGAACAAAGATAAAGAGAATGGAAAGTAAAGGTAAAGTACATATTACAAAACTGTCCTGAAACACAGCACATGCACATCAAAAGAGACCTTTCTCTCTTAAACTGTTTCATATATTCACATTTAATATCAATCCAAATCTTAAGTATTCTGTATATGATGAATATCTAAATGGATAGGGATCAGAAACCTACCGTTTGTTTTGTAGCTCTTAGGTTTCTCTTATGGAGTCCTTGGATTGATACTGGATTATCTTGTTGATCAAATATGGTGGAGGTTTTCCTATAGACAGTCTTAACTTGAAGAACCAAACTCTGTCACGACCAAGGAAACTTCACCCAAACGTACCTAGGGAATGATGGAGCCTGTGAAGGGAAACAGAGAGATGGTTTACTTTACTACTTACAGGGTGAGCATAAACATATTTCTATATACTGATGGATAGACCTTTTTACGAAGGACAGGGAAGTTATCCTATTATGAAGAAGCCTCCAATAACTAAAAAGTTCTGAACTACAGGGCCCTTGTTTTGGGTCAGGAAACCAAGTGGTACAGGGTGGGTAATCTTTGATAAATAAGCAATAGTGGATTAAAGACAATAGACTGGAAGAAGTGGGGGGGATTTTCTTGGGCAAAGGTTGAGACTGGGATTGTAGCTCAGATGAAGGACTGGGATAAACCGGAACTCTGGGTTGGTTGGGGGTGAAGAGGTAGTATGTCCTGCTGCGGAGATGGCGATATGCTGTGGATTACAGCTGCGCTCGTGACTCTGGTAATCTTACCAATGATTTTGCTAATCCTCTGAGGACTTACGTAAGCGCCAGTACTGTTATTGAAACTGGTAAGAATATCTATAAACACTCACAGGTAGGATATGTTATGGCATGAGCAGGTTTTGAGATAACACGGGAAAAAGTAGTATATGTCACTGAATGTAACAAATGTCAACCTCTACTAATTATGTAGACTTGTAAATACAGTGTTCACTTTAAGTAAATTGCAAATCAATACTTTTATTACTATTAGAATTAGAGACATTACGTTACATTACGTGTCACACATGGATGAATAAATAAAGAATGTAGTGGATCCTTCTGGCCAGTACAATTAAAATAGTCTTCTGTATAATTATCTCTTGATGTGGTGGACCATCATGCATAAACTGTGTTATAAGTTGCTGGCTGACAGGGATATGATACTGATTACATGAAACTGCTATATAACCTCTTATAAGTCATCTTCCTTAAATCCATCATTTATTCTATCACTGCTGCAGCTTCAGCATTGTGCAAAAACCATAAAGACGAAAAGAATGCAAACCAGTCCAGGATTTAATAGGCTCAACGAAAATGCATGAATATAATACTGCTAAGGCATTTATTACACTGCTTAATGTATTAAAAATGGTTAAAAACTATCAAGGTAGTTTATTAACTAGACAGGAAAGAATAAATGTTGAAACAACATTGGATCTCAGACTGAACTCCAACTGAACCATATGTTTTTTTTAGGTCTTAATTTCCACAAAATGTTAAAAAGACAGATTTTTCCAGCATTGTATGGCTCAATGTTCAGTGTTCATGTGCAAGGAGGCAGTCATGACCTTGAGGCCTCTACTGTAGTTCCTGCCAACACTACCAAATGAACACGTTCTCAGGTTTGCTATCTCTGTGATTGGGTTGAAGTGTCTCCGGATGACTGACGACAGTAGTTAGAGGAGGTGATGAAGGAAGTGTGTGTGTCTGTGTGTTTGTGTATAGGCAATGTGAGGCGGCATGTGTCTTTGTGTTGCCTAACCTTATCGTGTTGAGGTGGCAAATGTCTCAAATGACTTCTTATATAAGAACATTCATGTAAGGTGTCTGGGAAACTGTCCATGTTGTTGCTTCACACTGTCAGAACCAGCAGCATTTGATATGAAGTCTTGCCTTATATGATAAATGCTAAAATGTGATGGTGCCACTGCTGTTTGAGGGTCCTTTAATCAAATATTTAACAGCAAACACTAGCCTCTGATATTAGAGTATACAGTGGTTATTCGTTAAGTCCAGCAAGCTATATACAATGTTTTTGTTTTACATGTGTTTTACAATAAACCATTCTATATCTACCATGATTAGTCAATTCATGAGTTGAACTACGGAAAAATAACTATTTATTATGATTGATTAATCGTTGAATTTATTTATTCTCTAATTCCATCTCCTCAAAAATTGGCTGCTTTGTCTCGACTTACATTTCAGTAAATATTATTACCTGGTGGTTGTGCAAAACAAGATTTCTGATCACCTGGACTTTAGAAACACTCACAGAAGCACACTTTATAGACCTAGCACTTAAGTAATTAATTGAGAAAATGATACCTGCCGCTAACTGATGATACATAATAATACACTCCACCAAGTTTTGATGTTAAACTAACTATATATTATATATATATGTGATATAACTCTGATTATGCCATATTTTAAAAAATGTACAATGGAACATTTTCAGGATTTTCTTTACATTAAAGTAACACCAGAAGCATTTGAAAGTGATACAGCACACATGAATATATAAAAAATGTGGACAATGACTACAAGACCTTTCAATGTCATCTTGAAGGTCATCTCAACTGTTTGAAGAAAAAGAGCAAACTTTATCCAGTACAAGTCTTTAAGATAACTAATGAAAATCCCTATACTTAAAGGACCAGTAAAGGATTTAGTGGCATCTAGCGGTGAAGTTGCAGACTGCAGCCAACTGAACACCACTCACGTTGGTATTTGATGACCTCGGAAGGTGCTGTGAAGTGTGTAGGAGAAACCATGTGGTCTCAAGACTTGCAAAAAACATGAAAGGCCCTATCTTCAGCCAGTGTTTGGTTTGTCCATTCTGAGCTACTGGAGAAATGGCGGTTCAACATGGCAGCCTTCATGGAAGAGTACCTGCTCCCTCAGTAGATAAAAATGGCTCATTTTAAGGTAACAAAAACACAATTTCCTATATTCAGATGATTATACACTAATGAAAACCTATGAATATTATATTCAATTTCTGTCAATTGATGTTACACACTGGACATTTAAAGCCTATAGGGAATCAGCAAAATCAGCTTGGAGATAGATGAGGTTGACGTTTGTGATCTATCAAGAGGCAACACTCTTGTGTATTTTATACCCTCAAAATGATGAGTAATCATAATTAGCTCTACCAATTTTGACTTGATTAACTAAATTGAATTGCATCATCAGTATAAATAAAAATCTTATGCCAAGTAAGTAATTCCTCTTGGATCGATTTTCAGTCTTCTAGCAAAAGATAACGGTTCCTTAGCTTATGCAAATATAGTCCTGACTGGGCAGCATTTATTGGCATAATGATAACCCAACACTGATAACCCAAACACTGCTAATGTGCTCTATCATCCAGGGCTTAAAATAGCCCCTGATGCATGAGCAAACCTGACCACAAGCAGCTGTATGGGAGTGCACAGACAAAGGTGTTGAAGCCAGTCTAATTAAATTACAACTCTCACTGGTTTGAATTAGCAAGAGTAGACCACTTTCACCACCTATCTTTGTCTCTATTTTTTCATTGTGGGTCTCTCACCATGCATGTACTGTCTCTCTATATAGCACCTCCTGTGTCCTCTTTCTATCCAGATTATCTGACCATATTAAGGTGTTATGTGGTCAGATTAGGTTTGCAGGGAATATGATTTCAGTGTCATCGGACAAGGCACTGAATAAACCATGTTCTTAATTTTATCTGTCGTTTTTCTTGCCTCTCGTGTAACATATGATCTGTGACCCATTTCCTGTTTGTATGTTCTAAAAACAACAGTTTGAGTAAAATAACGTTAGATAATGCTGCTCTATGAAGCATTTCATGCACACACGCCTGTTTGGAGTGTGTGCCCATGTAGAACGGACCGATTGCTCGAAGTGCTACTTGCAGAGCTGTCAAAAACCAAGGTCTGGCTGCTTGCACCATTCTCAAGAACCTCTCATCTGATTGATTTTGATTTCACACTTGACACTTCCCCTCTTTGGGTCCTCAGCAAGACACCCGCCAAGTGTGAAGTCGATCACATGAACAGTTCTCAAGGTATGTGAAGGACAGTCATAAACATACTGTACATGCAGACAGAGATTCCTTCCTAGTTAGATGCCAATCCAGGAAAAAAACAATTTTGTTGTTTCTGAGACTTACAGGTTACAAAGTTACAGGTTAGAACATAAAGCTTGTTGTTATAGCGCCACCATCTGGCAAAATAGCACCAAACGTCACATTGCACTTGCTTGAGTCCTCAGCAATACACTGTCCAAGTGTGAAGTGGATCAGATGAACGGTTGTCGAGAAAATCAACATTCATACATACATATACATACATAGATTCCTTCCTTTATTGTTAGATCATTAAATTTGTCTGGATGATTTCATAATGGGGAGTTAAATCAACGCTGCGTACACAGTGTACAACACAACAAAAGTGACCCTCTACACTGCGATGCCACAATGCAAATATAGAGACATCGATACTTGTTATTGATCAGTGGGTGTTATTAACCAGGACACAGACTGGGTCCCTCTCCCAAAGTGTCACAGTGCTCTCTGTTTTGGGTCTATTTTCTATATCTCGTTCATTTCAGGCTGAATTATTCTATTATTCTATCTATACTTTACAGGGTAGATTTGAATAATGTTTAATGTGCACCAATAGGGGCTACTGCAACAGCTGTATAGCTGTGCCTGAAACTATCAAAACAAAAGTGACACTGACATTACAACACACTGCAGTAACCTTTAGCTTTTCTGATCAATACAGTTCTACTGAAGTGTTGATCTGGTGGCGTCATTCATATGTCGCAGCTAATAGCTGCAGCACCAGAGCACCAAACAGTAATGGGTGTTGCGTCACAAAGAGTAAACTAACTGAATATTAGGTGATATTAGACTTGAGTGTATCTCTAAAGGGTTATAATTTACTATCAAGAGTCTCATTCACTGTGACATTTTCCTGATGGTGTTGCTTAACCTTTCAAACATATGCACATTTTAATATAAGTTTGAAGTCAAAAGGACCATAATGGGGTTCTGAATGTTTTAGCTCATTTACAATGAATGGCTGGAGTTTTTAGACAGTTAAGTGATTTTACCAAATTCCAGCCAGCCACTATCAGTTTAATGCAGTATAGTATGGGAATCTAATTACAGGAACAACTTGCTTAAGATAAATAATCCATCAAATTGAATTCAGTTTATTGTCTAAGTGTGTTAATAAGTAGTCCTGCTTATAATTATCAGATAAGAGATAAGATCAAGTTATCCTTTATTGATCCCGTAGGGATATTTGTTAGGGTTGGTTAGTTAGGTAAATACTGTGAGCTCTGAACTGGGCAAACATTTGTAATTCACTGATGAACAACACACACACTCACACTCACCACACACACACACACACACACACACACACACACTCTTATGAAAACATCTGATAATAAGCACAAATGTGGAGTCATCTTGGCGCCGGGCCTTATTCCATCTAATTGAAACTTTTCTGCTGCCGGCCCTCCTTCAGCTGTGTGCAGTGATCGAGGTCATAGTGTGACGACGGCCAAATGTTAATCTGGGAGTTAAGATAGTGCAGGTTGCAATGTGCTGGTTAAAACTCTGAGTCTACACCAACTAAAAATACTCAGAAAATTGACAAGTACACAATCAACACTAATTAGACGTTACTACTTTTTACAGCATTATCCTTAGACCTCAACTATTCTTTTACATACACAGACACACATTCAGTCCACTGAGTAAATAAGTGCACTGTCAAGTAGGAAATCATTTCACCTTTTTAGAAAGCAAATACCAATACCATGACCACAGAGCTTAACTCTACTCTGACCTTGCATAAACAATTACAAGATTCAACTTTCTTGAAGGTAGCATGTGTTTTACTTTATAACTGTTGCATTATATTAAATTTTCTCTTTTTCTAGTCAGTCTGTGAAAACTTTCAGAAAAAAGTCCAACATGTTTGGGATTCTTGCCACCTGACCACTGCACAATTCTACAGCATGTAATGACTGTATCAGCTGCCCAAGAAAAGCACAACTGACTGATGCTATTTGTAGATATTTGCATTTTAAAAGCAGCACAAAAAAGGGATGTAAGTTATGGGGTACGTTATGGTGTTACCACCACACACTGTGCATTGCCCATGATAACAGTAGTATCACAACACAGGTGATCCACACTAGGGTTGCAACAGTATTTTTCATGGTACGATAACCAAAAATTTCACAGTATTACACGATTATTATTCACAAAATACCATGTATTATATTTTTAAGATAACTCTATATAGTAGAATTCAATACAGTAGATAAGCAAATATAAAAGGTATGATATCCGTACATTTTTATACTAGTATATGGTATCTTTATACTGCTGGAACCCTATTCTACACACGTAAAACATGGTCCTCAGCTATCAATTTCTAAAATGTGTGTATGACTAAACTACTTAAGGACACAACCTACAACAGCTGGATTGCAATACTGTACCACAATTGTACATATAATATACCACAATATAGTATTTATCCCACCTTTTTTTAAATGTCTGTTTTAATCTATTTCTAGAATAAAAAATCCAAGAGACTACAAACCAAAATGGGGCATGATGTTTGAAAGATGTGTGTATTGACCAGGCAGGGATAGTCTAGCTGAACTGACTTGTATTATGGGATGTGTAGGATCCAGGACTTCTGGAGCTTGACCCATAATAGGAAATAAAAGAGATATGTTAACCTCTGCGTCATCGTTTTTGCAGTGTTTTTTTAATTTTAGTTTGTTATCTGTTACCTTTATAAAAGTGCAATGCATAAATTGCTGGAGTGCCCTAAAATACATTAGCTATAATGTTTACTTGCTAAGTGCATTGGATGTAGCTATGCATTGGACTAATAACTTGAATTATGCTCTATAATATCTTTACCTTAAATTATAAATACTAATAAAAAAAATAGCCTAAAGAGAATCAGCTGCTGTCATCTTATAATCCTGTACTTTGGTCCAACCTTTTTACCCAATGTGCCTCACTAAAAAACCTCCAGCTTACCTGCTCTTGCCCCCTAATTTCAACTTGCTTCATCCACCAGTGTTGACATGGCTGCAATAAATGTTTAAAACCTATGTATCTACTTGTTTGTAATAACGATTGTACGTTTTGCAAAGACAAGAGCACCCTTTCAATATAAATGTAAATGTAGACCTACACTATGTGTACTGCACAGGTGTTTCAGAGCAGTTTGTCTCTCAGTTTTTCTCAGTTATTCACATTACATCATTTTAAAGCCTATTTCAAAATACAGCTGTGTTTTCTATCAGTTCACAACTCACCAAAACAGAAAGGATTAAAGTCTAAATCATCAGGCACAACAAGCTCACTGGCTTCATATCTATTCAGTACTCTGTCATTGCTTTATTGCTCTCTGTCCCCCCCCTCCAGTCAGGACACATTGAGGTAAAACGTGCCTGAAGTTAATGTCAATTTAAGAAGTCCAAATATACAGTAAAATAGCTTTAAAACATTTGGAGGAAGAAACAGTTTGAGCATCCTTTTGGTTAAGAAGCATTAATTAAAACATCCCTGAGATCCCTGATTAAAACTCTGTTTATGTAATGAATCACATCTTATTCTCAAGTCCCATTTGGAGCCAATAACACCTTTACAAACCAAAATTCATAAGTTGACAGTTCAACATTGTCACTGATGTGACAAACACCTAATGTTTAAAGCTGCACAAGCTTTGTCGGACGCCTATTATGACTTAAAATATGTCCACCTGCTTTTAAATACCACTTCAAGACCGCAGGTTGCTTAAAGACAACACCTCTGACAGATGTCAGCGACAAAATAACAAATAAGAAATCACTCTAAAGACAAAAACTAAACTACTTGCGCAGCGAAATTCAGCCAGCACTTACCCGCAGTTTGCATTTTCCTCCCGTTAATTCGGTGCTTTGTAACGAGGTCAGTTTACTTTAACTTCCTACTTTAACCGGATTTAACGGCTGATTAATACAAATTAAAATAAAAACACCGATTAGGAACCGAGCGCGAGCTGTGCCGTGCTGGCGGTCCTGTCAACTGTCCGCGAGCCCTCAGGTGGTGGATGAGCGCGCTCCCGTCGCTATCAAACTACCACCACGCGCCTGTCCGGACTGCCAGAGTGACCTTGTCACACCACAGTGTGATTAATCAATATTAAATTACACTTTATATGTGTAATATATGTGGATTACTCATTTGGTTTATTTTAAAAAACATATTTTCATCAAATACTTCTCACATATGTATCAAAATTATTATCCGACTTTCTAATGAACAACTGAGTATTTTTTATGTAAATGTATAAGAGTTATTTTATAGGCTACTGTTTATAGTAAAAATGCACCATAGCTTACTTTCCCTTTATATAGGCATATTTCTGGGATAATAAAGAAAACTCTCTGTGTTGTTTTACTGGCAGCAGACAGTACTGACTGACTGAATTGTGTAAGATTATTTATATTATAAATACTGATGTTAATATTTATTTTAGTGAATTTTATACAAGCCTCTCTGTCTGCGTGTGTGTTTTGTCTGAGACCTTGTGAACCTTACACAACATGGTTTGGCTATAGTATTTTTTTAAATTATAGTCATGCCAATAGAAGGAGAGAGAGAGAGAGAGAGAGAGAGAGAGAGAGAGAGAGAGAGAGAGAGAGAGAGAGAGAGAGAAAGTGACCAGTGACTATGCAGATTACTGAGTTACCTTGTGTGTGGGGGGGGGGACAGACAGAAAGACAGAGAAAGAGAGAGAAAGAGAGAGAGAGAGAGAGAGAGAGAGAGAGAGAGAGAGAGAGAGAGAGAAAGTTTACTAATACTTAATCTGATTTAATCTCAGGTGCCCAAGAAGTGACCTATGATGTCATGAGCTCTGTCATTCTATGGAAATAAAGGATCAGACTGAAGATGACCCAGGGCAAACAGCAGAAAAAAGAGAGACTAATGCAGCAGACACAACAATCAGCTACATCAAACAACATAAACATAAATACCCTGTGTATTCATGAAATTAACTATTTAGTGAATATAATCTTAATCTGCTGAGATGCAAAATTTGATGAAATGACATTAAAAGCAGTGGATGTTACATAGATTATGTTTGCAACCGGGCATCTTCTGTTATTTTAAATTGCATATTGTGTTTGTATTAAAACCCTAATTGTAATTGACCCATGGAAAACTATCCGGGAGGAGGGGACGAGGCAGAGAGAGAGAGAGAGAGAGAGAGAGAGAGAGAGAGAGAGAGAAACTGGCAGGGGAGGGGATGGTGATGTCAGACTTTGTGAATGAGTGAGTGATCAGAAAGACACGAGGTTCAGGAAAACTAGAGACATTTAAGAGGATAAAATGAATTAATCACTCTATGGTTCCTTCTGTTGAAGCCATATTTGAGACTGTAGACAGTGTTAGAAATGTTATCCTGGTTTGTTTTTGTGTACCAGGCTGGTTGTTAGGATAAGAGAGAGAGAGAGTTCAAACATGGCAGAAAAATATTTGAAAATCAATTCAGAGGCGTTTTTCTGGGACTTTATGATGAGAAGAGGGTCAAAGACAAGACTTTGTTTTTAAAAGAAAACATGGTTATTGAAGTTGTCCTAAGGAGCTGACCATCAACTGCAACATCCCTGGTTTGATTGCAGCCGGGGACGTTTGTTGCATGTTATTCCCCATCTCAAAGTCAAATAAGCTGCATAGTATAATAAGTTTACATTATTACCATCTCTATCTCTTGGCTCACTTTATCTCTCTCCAATAAATTCTCCAACAAAAGGCATACAATTGTGTAAACAAAACTGTGGTAAACTGTGACTGGACTTCCTGGTGTCATGTAAATAACATTTAACTTCGATTGTGGTAAACTGTTGCAGGCACGGCAGCCTAAAATAAACAAAGAGAAATATGTACATCTGGGACTAAACTTTCCTTTCTACTTGTTTGACTAGAAATGAAGCATAAAAGCAGAGAACTGCTCAACGGTGAGTCAATATTTCCACTATTTAGCTTCAATCATGGGTTGAGTGGTATTTACAATGAATCATTTAATGTACAACGGTGATTTGGAAACTTGATATATCTGCAGCGGGGTGGCAGAGTGAGGAGGGGGATCGGCCTGTGTGTGTCCTCACTGAGGCGCCCGTATAATTAGTCCATTATTATTATTGGACGAGTACATCTGTGGGGATGCAATACTGACTCTGAGCCACCAGTGGGCAGGTTGAAGCAATTTTTTGCATCCATGAGTGAGCCTGCAGTCAAAGATCAGTGCCAGTTTAGGACTTGAAAGTTTTCACTCTGGTAAACTGGTGATAAGTGATTATCAGACTGGATGGCTGCAGATTGACCAGAGGCTACACACCTGGTTTCTGAGGGCCTAATTACAAGTCAAGATTTAAAATAAGCAGCTGTGCAGACACTAAAAGAGAATTTCACACCTTAGGGTGTTTTACGACTTGAAAGATGCTAAAACAGAGACAACAAGAGAGAAACAATACCTGCGTACACATTTGGATTTGTAGAATTTTCCTTTCAAGTTAAAGGTTATTTGTGAACCCTGTACAGAAGTATCAGTGAGAGTTTTCTATGATGTAAAAGTGTCATTTAAGTAATTTTATAGTCTAGGTCATTACTTAGTTTTACCTATTCATAGTAAATCATGGGAAAGACATTACAAAACTATCCTGCGTGGTAAGCAAGAGTCTATTTCCCTGCTGGCTGGTTAGATGCTTTCTGCTGTGATAAGGTTCCATGTGGGCCTGTGAACGCCTGATCCGATTTCTGCAGATGGAGCAGCAGACTCTGGCTGCGTCGTGTAACGGGTTCCAGATTTTGTCATGGTCACACAAGGTCCAAATCTAATGCTCCGTGATTTCAGGGGTAAGCGCATATTGGTTCAATGTGTGGTGTCTGCCCTCTGCAGACTAACTTCAGGGGCCAACAGAAGACAGAGCCCCTGCACTCAGACAAGGAGGGTGAACTGTACTGCTGAATCACTTTAAAGACAAAGGATCCCCAAAAAACCATCAGTTTTCAGATCAGTTGGTATTTTCTAGGGTTGTAAGGGATGATTATCTTTATTATCAGTTACTCTACTGATTATTTTCTCGATTAACTGATTATTATCTCAACTAATGATTGATTTGAAGAATGTTCCCAGATCCTGTATCGATGTCTTAAAATGTCCCGTTTTGTCCAACCAACGGTCCAAAACTCAAAGATATTAAGTCATATTAGAAAAGCAGGAAACATTTATCAATGAGAAGCTAGAAGCAATGACTTTTTGCCAATTAATTAAACAAGAAATATATTAATTATTAAAAAACACACATTATTTTTCTCTCCATCGACTAATCACTTTAGCTCTACTATTTTCTATCATTTAAATAATCTCATTTTACTTAAATCTTATTCAAAAGGCAAATGGAGGCTTGTCAATTATGTGTTAAATATACTTTCTACAAAGCAATGTATAAAATCTAAATCTCAGTGTGTACTCACAGTACAAACACTTGGCTTGGTATTGAGGGAACAGGAGAAATTTGATGTGTAACTGTAAAGACACACAGGCAGAAGGGGGGGATCAATAACTCATCACAAGTTGTGAATCAGCCTGGTCCAACAACCGTTTGTCACACAGAAGAAAATGTCCGCCCATTTAATCAAGACTACGAGACTGAAGACGTCCAACCGGCAGGCAATTTGTCAATTTGCTCAGAAATGGGTAAGCTAATTAATGAAATGAATGAAGAGAGCAAGGGCAGCCAGGAAAAGGTTAGGGAGCTGATAATGTTTACGTGTTGGGGCGTTTGTCATACTGTGACTACCCACTGATTGGACGTGTTACAGCCCCTTCTTCAGGGTGTGCTGCGTAAATAGATGAAGATATACAGAATAATAAAGACTGTTTTTTCAAGGGAGTGTGAGTGTAATCTTAAGCTCCATTTTGTTTTTACATGCTCAACCTCCTGTGAACTCTCAGTAGCACAAAGACACCTCAGGGCCCGTTTGGCCCCATGATATCTGAAGACTGCAGAAACCCCCAGAATATAAAATGTGGCAGGGAAACATTTCTATGTGACAAGCACACAATTAGCATAATGAAATACGTCAGTATACAAGCATAGACTCCAGTGTAATCCACTCACTGTCATAGTTCTGTAACAGGTGTCCACTGTGATACTGCAGCAGTTTTCTTTTTATATTAATAAAACAATTATCATATAGAATAACATATGCTGTATACTGAATCGGTTAATTAATTAGTTGACAATTTTAATAACTGATTGAGCATTTAAGTCATTATGGCTCACAAAATGCTTCAGTTCTTTGTGTTTTGTCAAAGTAAACTGAATATTTTGGGGGGTTTTGGACTGTTGGTTGAACCAAACTAGCTATTTAAAAGATGTCACCTTTGGCTTTAGGAAATTGTGAATGCACTTTTTAGTATTATTATCTTACATTCTGTAAACTAAATGATTAATAGAGAAAATTATTACATTCATTGATATAATGAAAAATAATGGCTGTACACCCTTTATACAGTGAATATGACCAAAATAATAACTACTGGCTACTTCATTGGCCTGAGGATAGCAAACAAATATTAATAACAGTTATTCCTTTCCAAAAAAATCTAAACAGATAAGATATAGTCAGTCACTTTATATAATAGTATGTTATTGACAGACAAAATGAACTGTACTGCACTTGAACACAGACTTCATTCACCATCATAGGTGACTGTTGCCAGAAAATCATTATTTTACAACCTTAAATGCAAACAAAACAACATATAAATGCATATAGATTTTGTCTATCCACTTAAATTGGCTAGTAATCTTGAATTGTTTTTTTTGTCATTATGGCCCGGCCCTTTATACACAGCTACAATCACCTACCCGGTCTTTATTTCAACAGCTTAATTTATAATAAGAGAACAGGAAAGCTAATGAGCATCTGTTTCAGTGCTTTCATCTTCAGACCTTCTACATTTGCATATTAAAGACTGATACAGATTAACAGGGGAAACACGTGCACTGCAGGTCATAGTGCAAGAACAAAGCCCATAGCTCAGGTAAATGTAATTAGAAATGATATAATGTGTCTGCACAGACTGAGATTGATGTGTTCTGACAAAGACAAATAAACAGCACAGTACTCAGACACTTTCACTCTCTTCCCCCCCACCACTCTCTTTTTTCCACGTTTGGATGTTAAAGTTAAGCAATATTCGTCTCCAAATGTCTGGTTTCACAGTTCATAATCTCTCCTGCACCTTTTTCCAAAATCTATGCAAATTTAAAACCCAGAGAACACCTGATATCACTTCATTAAAACTTTTTTTTGCCACCTTGGCACTCATGCCTCCTTCTCCATTTCCATCTATTAAGTTGTTCTACCTGTCCGTCTCCTTGGGTGAGGGAGCCTTCTCATGCCTCCATGCATCCACCCCCTCCCCTATTTTGGCATGCCTGTGCCAGGTATTTGTTCAAATTCCTCACACCCCGTGGGGATAGGTATGTCCCCCCCCTTTCCACCCGTCCCTCTCTCGTCTTTACTGCCTGTCTCTGTCTATCTTATGTACGCCAGCACATGTATGAAGCAGCCAACGTGGACTCCCCACCACCAACACGAGGCGTACAGCCTACACATTTTACTGGCTAGTCACAACTAAATCATTTCCAAGTTGTTCAGCCTCTTGAAGCTGGCAAACCACAGCTGTGGGTTATACAACGGTCGGGCCAAAAACAACTCGGTGGATAACAGGCAACTGTAAGTTGCTTTTGATAACTGCTGAAAGACCCGTTTATTCTGTGATGTTGTCAGAGCTTAAAGGTCTGGCCACTTATTAGATCTAGCAGTTAAACTTTGCTGTGACATGGACAAATGTTGATACAGGCAACTATACTGGATAATTAATTTCCTCTATAATTTAAACACCAAATCATCATATAAAGCCCTTGTGGGGGTGTGAGGCGCCTTGTGTTTGAACATGAGCTGATGTGGTATTGACATTGGGTCAGAGTTGAAGTGCATTAGTTATTGCAGTGCGTCATGAAATGACAGCAAATACCAATGATACGCTGGCTCATACATTCGTTTCTCTGCTCTTCCCACAGAGTCTAAAGTCTACAGTCAAATTTGATCTTACTAGAATAATCATCTGTGCAGTTTTGTATTAATGCTTACATATTTCAAGCCGAAAGTGAGATATTCACAAACAGAGTTTCAAAGACAATTTGGCTTTTGATTGACTTGTTTCTGTTTCAGGGGATCAACCCCATGACCTTTTGGTTGCAAGACAGGTTTCTTTAACAGCTAATCCAATAGCTATATACTGTCCATATAACTTACTCTCCATGTTTATTAAGGGGACCACAGATCACTTGTCATGCTTCTACTCATGGGACCATCCAGGTCTCAACCTTTGTAATTCCTCCATATCCATCTATGTACAATTATTGAGGATCATGTTAATGCATAGCTCAATATTTATTTTCATTGCAACTGGGTGTGCATATGTGGACCATACTTTTGTTTTTAGTGCTATTGGCGTTGTAGCAACAAGGTTTTATGTATTGCTGAAAGACTAAAATAGAGGTCAGTCATAAAAATAGGAAAACCATAAAGACTTTCCATTTAGTTATGTATTTTATAGTTTATCTTCTTCACTCTATTATTTTGTTTTATATACATACCAAGATAAAGTATGCTTCAAAGTGCATTAAAAGTGTTATTACTGAATAAACCCAGGTTTTTATAAATCCATCACAATAAATTGGTAGCTTTCAAAACTAAGCCATATCTGTGACTTATATAGCACCTGATTAATTGCCCAAATGTGATGTTCCAATACCATTTATGGTCCGATTCTTGACTTTCATGGAAAGTCTTTGCAGTGAGTTCACTGTGAGATTTATGCCTGGCTTAAAGGTATTGAAACCATTAGAGAGTCATCAAACCATAATTAAACTTACTGTAAATCCCCCAAAATGTGGCTATAAATATAAGAATTAAAAACACACTCTAATATTAGCTTTATCCACATTTTAAATTCTCATACCGTTACTCAGCACTGCTGTGGCCTGGCTTACTCAGAATGCTTTTTCAGTCATAATTTAAAGCAACTGAACTGTAATTACTGTAATGATCGATAGTGAGTGTTTTGAAGTGAGAAACATTTTCATGACAGCACCAAATAGATTTCAACCACAAATCCAGGTTGATATGTCAAAAATAGACTCTTAAGATGTGTTTCCTGTTATTTATATCTATTGTAGAGTGAAACATATGATTAAGAAGGTCATTGTTATATATTCTGTTCTGGGACCCCAGTTCAGGCCAACACAACTTAATATTAATATTCAGTATATGCAGGCTAAGCCCCCTCACTCAGAAACCCACCCCACCCCCTTTCCACTCACACACACTCCTCTCCCGTTGACTCAGACAAATCAAAGACTGAGCTGAGGAGACGAGCTGCACTGAGCAGCAAAGTTTGGAGGCAGATTGTCACCACGAATACTCCGACCTCCACCTCCTGATCTGGTGCCTGAAGAATTCAAGGGGATATTTCAAAATGGGAACTGAGTATTTTCGCCAAACAAATCCAAGGAATATTATTTTTACAGCATCTGTGATTAAACTGGTTTAAGGTAAGTTGAAAAAAAAATCAATCTGCCAAATTATTGGCTGGTTAATATCTGTGCGTAGATCTATGTAAATATTGTTTATTATAGGCCTATTGCTAATTTTTCTTTAGCACTGATTAAGGCCCAAACATAGCCCCTTATGCAGGCGATTTATAGGCTATCTCAATAGAAATCCCACATTTTACTGCATGAAATCACTGATCCCTCTAAAGTCCGTGGATGCTACAGCTAAATATTGTAAGTAATATTGCCTAATATAGTTTTTTTTTATTTATTGCTTAAAAGTGCGGACTTAGGCCAGTTAGGCCTATACAGGCTAGCTTTTGGCTTGTAGGTTTATTTATGAAATTAAAACGCATACACACATCTGGATCAAATACTGCAGTTTAAAGGAAATTTGGTCGAATTCATCTCAATAATGGAAATATGCTGCAAAGATTTTCCTGGTAGGAAAGGTCCTGTCATGAATATAACACAGCTGTTATTTAAAGGGAGCCGGTAACGTATGGAGGCGCGCAGCACCGCGGGGGTTTGGCTGCTCCTCCACAGTTCAACAGTAGCTCTTAACCCCGGTGCAGCCTGGGTCACCATGTGTCATACAGGCCGTTTCTGTCAGGCACCCCGCGTCTGCTTTGATGTCGCTGCAGATTACATTTCGTTAAAATCATCGGTCTTGGAGGAAAAGTGTTAGGCTCACAAAGATAACACAATATATTACCACCCTCCTCTTCTGGGGCAGGAAACGGTCACTGACTAGCGAACTGGATAAAAATGTTCTTTAAAATAAAATATTTTCAATAAAATCAAAACATAGCCCAAGTTGTTGGCCGCCTCATCATCGCGCAATCCACTGGCTCGCATATTGTCCCGGGCTACATCCAAACCACCGGTGCGCAAAAACGCACAAACCTAGAAATCTAAACTAACATTTAGGATTTGTTTGCACGAAACAACTTCTGAGTCATGTTACTTTTTTGTGTCTCACTTAGCCTAATTGTTTTCCAACTGCTGACCTTAAGAAGGAGCAGGCGTTTGGAGGTTTCAGTCTAGATTTACAGTCTTCAGTTGGAACCCTCCTACTCTGAAAATCCAATTATTTTTACTAAAACCATGACAGGCTCATCTGGCTCCCAGTGAAACTCTAAAACTGTGAAGGTTGAGCCAACCAGAGCAGTTTCTGCTAAAACATAAACCATCATGGTTTTGCTGACACTTTCATTTCTACTACATGTTTATATGACTTTATTTACTTTAACTGGTGTCAAGATTCATATGTGCATAAATCACTTTGAAGCGCACACAACGAGATCCAAATCTGTTTTAGCTTTGTTGTCATTATCTGTGTTTCAAACAAATAAAATCTTCTGAAACGAGAGAATATAATGAAAAGGAAAGTATTGATGTGAACTAACATATTAAAAAATGTGCTTTTTCTCCACCTGTTTCTCCCTTTTGACCCAACCCATCCCACCTCCTTCCTCTCTGTCTCCGCATATTTTACTTTACATCTCAAACAGACCATTTAATATTCACTGACATTCCTTTTAACTTTTTTTTTTTTTACTTTATATAATTTGACATTATGGACCTCTCAGGCTCTTTGCCTCCACCTTCCCCATACACCTTCCCTATTATTCCCAATTTCTCTATGCCCTCTACCTCTCCCTCCATCTCTCCATCACCAAGCCTGGCGTCCACTGCACTCTTCTGCTCCCTTCTCTCCCTCCTCTCCTTGCTGGGAATCACAGGAAACCTGTACACTCTGGGCCTCCTACTGAGGCGTAGGAGAAGTAGGAGAAGACGTGGAACAGGACCAACCTGCTGCCTAATGAGAATACCTGTACCATCCTGCCTTGCCAACTCCTCCTCCCCTTCCTCCTCCCCCATCTCTTCTTCCGCCTCCTCCTCCTCCTCTCTTCACCTCCAGGTGCTGAGCCTTGCTCTTGCTGATCTGCTCTACCTTTTCACCGCTCCCTTCATTGTGTACGACAGCCTGGCGTCTGGCTGGGCCTTCGGTGAGCTGGGCTGCCGTCTCCTCCTGAGCCTCGACCTCCTCACAATGCACGCCTCCATCTTTACTCTCACTGCCATGAGCCTGGACCGCTACCGTGCTGTGGCCCATCCCCTCCACATTTCCTCCACCAACTCCTCCGGCCCGCTGCGTGTAGGCCTGGCCTGGGGGCTGGCTGTGGCTCTTAGTCTGCCCATGATGATCACCCTGCACCTGGAGGATGGGGAGAACCAGGAGGGGCAGCTGTGTGTGCCGGCATGGGACGAGCAGAGCTCCAAGGCCTATCTGAGTGTGCTTTTCTGCACCAGCATTCTTGGTCCTGGGCTGGCCATTGGAGCACTTTATGCTACGCTAGGCCGGCTTTACTGGGTGTCTCAGACTAGGCCAGCCTGGGCCAGTGGGGGCAGCACTGCTTGTCCTCCCCGTGCCCCCAAACCCAAAGTCCTGCTCCTCATCCTCGGTATTGTGCTCGCTTTCTGGGCCTGCTTCCTCCCTTTCTGGATCTGGCAGCTGCTGCCTCTCTATCAGCCAGACATGCTGCGGACAGTACCAGTAGGGACACAGGTGACAGTGAATCGTATCCTCACAGGGCTGACCTATGGAAACTCCTGTGTAAATCCATTCTTCTACACACTATTGACTGGAAAACGAAGACGCAACCGGCAGACGCTGACATCAGCAAATCAGCTCTGCCGTAAGAGCAGTCCGATGCAGTAGTGTGTGTGTCTCTCTTAACAGTAGAGACAATAATGTGAGTGTGTACACATATGTGTAAAAAGGTACTGTATATGAATGCTTGAGTTTCATATTGGACACCAAAGACCTTTGATTTATCCTTAGACTGCAAACTAAGGAAACAGAACAATACTAAGCAAATGATAGCACTTTGTATAGATGCTTTGACAATCAAAAAGACCATTTCTTTAAGATGTGTCACCTAATTAAGGCTTTATCTGCAAACCTTTTCCCAACTTTGGTCATATCAAAGAATCTGCCTTTAATTGATGTAGTAACCACGTTTACATATTGATAATTTGGTTTTAAATGTTTTAATGATTATATATCTGTGGTAGAGATAATATGGTATTTCTAATGCAAGTGGTTACTATGGTAAATAATTGTGCAAAGTTATTTACCCAAATCAACAGATTTCTTAACAGAAAGGAATGTTTTATTTAGTCAACATATTTTTTGTCCCGTACTGTATTATTGTACAGTAACATTAGGAAAGCAGAGTTATGCTGTATGTTCACACGTACAAGCATTTCCAGTAAAACCCTAATGCACTTCTGCTTGTTTTCAGAGAACTATCAAAGAAAATGTTTGTTTTTGAACAACTGGTCGGATCCTCGTAGGGACATTTTTCTGAGACATTGTTTGTTGACTTAATGAATTATGTTTGAGTGGGTCAACAGTCTTTTGTTTGCTTCCTCTGAACCCTGACATATCTAAAACAACTGACTTTTTATAATCACGACCTGCATGTTGGGTTTGAAAATGTACTTTTTGAATCATGCAATGCTTTGCATGGCCTCAATTTGTGTTGATTGTAACTGATGTTTATAATGATGCATAATATATAGCCTTGAATAAAGAATATGCTTTCTGTAGTCCACTGTGTGATTGGATCTTTAACTGGGGAAGAAGATGAGAAAGTGACCTGTATTGTCTTGCAAAAATAACACAAGATAACTAAAGATCACACCTAACGGTGTTCATGACAATACTATGTGAAAAAGGAGAGAACATTTGAGAAACCACAATGAAATGAAACAGAAAGAGGCTGAAAACAGACAGGTGTTGTATGAAAAAAGAAAATGTGGAGAAAAATCCTTGAAGTTGCATTCACACTTTTGTTTGTGTGTCTGTGTCAGCATGTCAGTGACTCTAGAAGGTCTTCCCCGTTCCTGTGTATATACTCGCTTGCTGGTGTTTCTGTGTCTCCCTGTAGCAACGGCCTGTCTCTGTCTGTCTGACTCAAAGGCTGCACTGTACTCTATCGCAAACCCTGCTGCTCTTTGACGCAGATGAGCAAATATTGTTGTTTGACAGAAAGGAGTCAGGATGGGGATAAGATGACGGGACAAAAGGAGCAGGGTGATATTGAGCATGGAGCTTTGGTCAGAAACTTATTGGTTGAGGGGTGGGGGTTGGTGGGGGCTTCTTCGAGACTTAGGGGTTTAAGATGCTGACCATGTGATCGTACGGTCCCTGGTTCAAGTTGGCAGGGGACTGTTGTTGCATGTCATCTCCCATCTCTCCCCTCATTACAGGAAGGTGTTTAAGAATTCTTAAATATGAGTTACTGGGTTTTATCACTCCTGCAACTTAACTTTATTTTATTAAGTTTTGCAATCACTGTTTTTATTTAGCTATTATTTATATACTGCATATATATATATATGGTGTACTTTAAAGTATGCGTATTTTAATTTAATTCTGTTTATTATTGTTTATTCTCGTTAAAGCTTGCAACATGTCTGCATCTGTGTCCTGATGGATGGTAACTTTCTGTTTAAGATTTTGCACATCCATATAAATAAACAACAAACCAATCAATACATAGAGCATAATAAACTTTAATGTCATTTTGACAAATTTTTCCATTAAACAATTTGTGAGGGGGTATTTTTCTTTAAGCATAAACTTGCATAGTGGAAACCTGAGACAACTTTCCACAAAATAAATCAAATGTGTTAATATCCATGAACGTAATGCAAAACTAGAGACTCACACAATGTATTCACTCACATTAAAGCATCTTAATCAACATGTTAAAAAACAGCTGTCCTCTACAGAAAGAGACATACATTGTGAATAATATTCCAGACCTCTATGAAATTCTGACACAAAGTCTGGGGAGAACACAAGAGGTGGCACTGATCCTGTCTCAAGTGACATATCTTTATAATGGTGTTTTTCTTTGTCGACCCAAATCACACAGAAAGACCATTAAGCTCTATTAAGTGTGGTTAACTGTGTTTTGACTTGACATTCAGTAACTTCTGTGAGAACGTAATCCCCAAGTAATTGCTTATTTAAGTGATTTCATGTTAAATGCAATGTAAATTGAGACTGGAATTATTTGAGAAAAGTAAACTCAAAGTTTGGGTTTATTTATTTGGACATAAAGTGCATACATGTAGGAACATTAACTGAGGAAAAGAAAACCTGAGGGCTGCAGGAGAAGCCACGAAGCACCGCGGGGCTTTACTGCATTGGTAATACCAACAGGTTGAAGAGACACATACCAAAAGCATTTGTCAAGGGAGGGCCTGCGTTTCTCTGCACTGTGATGCCATTATTTCTGAGTCTGCAGGGCCCTTCTGTAGTCCACGCTGCCTACCATGTGTTTCTATTTACCTGGCCTGGCTACCTCTGAGCATAACGTTCCCAGTGCAGTTATTACCCAGAGCCCTGTGCGGTCACACCACAGGGGGCGCTTCTGTTGTGAAGTTAATGCAATATCCATCCACCTTTCACAGACAACTGAGGCCCTCTCAGCACATTTGTCCATTAAAATGGAATTTCTGGCAGACAAAGAGCCAGCTTCATATACGTCTGAAATCATGAACCCTCATATGAGACATGGTGATTTTTGGACCCCTGGGTCATACCGAAATGACACAAGATGGAGGGTGTAGCTTGTGTAAAGATGAAACCCTTCCAAAAAAGACACTTAGCAGCAGTGTAGATATTAAAACACAGAGAGCTTGTTGTTCAATTTTCTGAGTCTGCATAGTGGACAGGTTTTGGGTGTCTGCATATTCTAAAACTCAATATATCAGATGATTAAATCCTCCCTCAGGTCTGCGGGGATGACTGAGTGTTTGATAAACTTCAAAAATACGTGGTGTTTGGTCAACCCAACCAAATGGATGGAAAATATTGTCTCAGTTGGCAGGCTGGCCGATCTATAAACTTTGTGTTGTTTGTTTTGGTAGTTGCCAGCACCGGCTGACTTGCTCCAATCATAACTTTTGTCCTTCTGCGCAACAGAAGCTTTTGATTCCATCCTGAGATTGTAGGCAGTGTCCTCCTCCGCTCTAGTCCACGGGGAAAACACAAGGACAAATATTTTCTTTTGGGAGCGTCGCTCTGTTCTACCTGAGGATTTCATAAATCCAGCACATGTCCGTTTCCTGGAACCATCAAGCATCTTTCCATCCTAGCACCCCTCACCCCGCCCGTCAGGCACTCCTCTTGACCAGTGTTTGCGGCTGCTGCAGGTGCCCCTCCCCTGGGCAGCCCGCTCAGGAAAGCACCCCGCTGTGCAGACGAGACGAGGCCGCAGCCCGCGCCAAATTCACGCTGTGAGGTGTATAAGAGGCTCCCATTCTCTCCAGACATACACAAAAAAGATTCCCTTGCACTCCTCCTCCGCCTGCCCTCCTCTAAAATCCAATCTTCCCATCTGTTTTCCCTCTCTCAATCACTTTTTGTCCCCTTTATACTTTCCGCCTTGCCTACACTCTCATTCCTCTGTATGGTCTCACCTTATATGACGGTAATGTAAATTTCACCGCACTTTTTTGCATCGTGAATAACAAAGACTCTCAAGTCCTACTCAAATGTCTCCAAATTAACATTAACTTCAACATCTGTAACATCACGGCAGCTTATATCAAACACACTAAGTCAAGTTTTACGATACCCGCACATGTAGTCTACGCAGTATTTCAAAAACTGTTTGTAATTGCTGGTTTGACAGCAAACACCGAAACCTAGGAGCTCACAGTGTTTCTTTGTTCAACCCATGGCAACCCCACCATGAGGCGCCCTCCTCCCCATCACGTCCCCTGACTTCACACCTCCGTGTCAGCCGCCAGGATCAGGCGAGACCCTGGTTTGCGTGCCTTGGAGGCCGGAGGTTACATCAACCGACATACACATTACGGTTCGCACTTGGGCTCTTACTAGGAAAGACTGTAAATATGGCACGTCTGCCCCTCTTGCTCCTTCTCCCTCTAGCTGTGCTTCACCATTTCTCTGTTCCCCCCCCCGCCTCCTCCTCCTCAAGGCACACTGCCCGTAAACAGTCATCCCTGTCAACTCAGGCGTCAAAGCTCCCCTGACCTCTGACCTTCTGACATTTTACTCATCTGAACTCCATGGTTTGTTTGTGGCTGAGGAAGGACATTATGTATTTCCATGACACTGTTCAACATTAGAACAAAAGCCTGCATAGCCAATTATGTATTAGAGTTGATTCATCGATTAGTCGATCAACAGAAAATTAATCTGTAACTATTGCAGTAACAATCTGTTAATTGTTTCAAGCATTCATTTCAAAAATGTCAAACACTACCTAGTTCCAGCTCTTCAGATGTGAAAATTTGCATCTTTTTTGGTCTTCTGTGACTAGAAACTGAGTATTTTTGGGTTCTGAACTGTCAGACAACAACAAGACATTTGAACACATATTAATGGGCATTTTTCACACCAAACTATTAATTGAATAATCAAGAACATCTGCAAATTAATCTATAACAAAAATAAGCATTAGTCACAGCTCTATTATGTAAATTATGACTAATAGACTATTTTTAAGGGGCCGTAACACACTTGCAAAGGTTTTAAACAAAGGTAAAACTCTCTAGAAATGTTATAATTAAAAGTTAAGTCCTAGGTATTAAATGTATGTCCTTAGGTCTAAACTGGTTTGGTCCAATAGGTTAAAAAAAAGCAGTAGTATCACTGTCACTTCCTTATCTGAGAGTGAACCAATGTTTAGGTCACAGTAAGAATTAGAGTGCCACCTGCAGGTGAAAGACAAGAACAAAGACTTCATATTTGAAACCAAATCATTACTTTTTCCTGTTCTCCAGTTTGCTGCATTACATGTCTCCCTTCCTGCTCCTCACAGCTCCACACTGACAATATAGGACAAAGGATCCTATAAAAAACACTAGTTTTTCATGAGCAAAAATTACAAAATGAATCCACTTTTGCAAGTGTTGGCACAGTGTCTAAATACATAATAAAAATGCCAAGTAACTAAAGTAAAAAGGAGGACAGATAGATTTACTTGTATTGAAAAACATGAAGAAGCTGAGCTACAGTAGCAGAAAACTACAAAAAATCGACAGCCTGGTGAATATTACAACTTCACATCTAACCGATATATTTTCTCTCTCCAGTGACATAAATGTTGACTGTGTCTGAACTCTCACAGTTTCCCTTTCAGAGTTTTCTCTACCATCAACTTCTTTGTTCTACAAAAACTATGAATCATGTGTGTACAAACTTAGTCCGTTGTGTCACTACTGTCGTGGTAAAAACACAATACTGTGTACTTGAAGATTTTATCAGCAGCAGCTAGTAGCAGCAATAAAATGGCTGCACGTGTTGCCGGCTACACAACATGTTGTTCCCCTTGTCTGTCTTTGCACTGACTGAACTTCCAGCTCGGGTGGCTCAGTAACTGACCCATCCCAGTAACAGTGTCCCCTGAGGGGAGGACACCTCCCAAAGCTCCGTTCACCCAGTAAAGTTAATATAAAATAAATATAATTTAATTCCACTAATAATACTGAGCTGTTTACGTCCACGGTTTATGGGCAGTTTAAATTTATGGAAACATTTTGTATCTGTCAAAGCTCATCAAGAGTCAGAATTCATCATTTGAACAATAATGGAAATAGTAAGTCCTACTCATCTGCTGTACTGTAACTTTAACAATACTTTATTAGAGATCATAAAATCTACTTTTCATTAAATTAATATAAATAGCCTATGTGTAAAAGGTACAGAGCAGCTTTTAAGAAATAAAAACAGAAAGAGAAACTAGATCATTTGAAAGGAATATAAGTCTTAAAAACCAAAAATAAAGAATCCTGCACACTGTTCATCTGAGTTTAAGGGACACTATGAGTTTCTTTTCAGTTCAAAGGTGCAATATGTTAAATTACTAAATTTTGTTCACTAAAATATTTTTTTTAATAAAAACACAATAGTTAAAGTTAAAGTATTATTGCACAAAAAACATTTTAACTGCTGAACAAGGAGTGAAAATAATCCATTATTTCCACCCTTTAATTAGAAAGCGAAGTAAAAAAATAACATCAGTCCTAATAAATGAATGTGAACAAAGCCAGTGTTGTGATTGAAATCTAATAGTGGTCCTTTTAAAACAACCTATTTCCTCTTACGTACACATGACAGACCTTGATCCTAATCAAACTGAAGAGCAGAGTTTTGCAGACTGTTTTCAACACCCAGCAACACGGGACAAAAGAAATTCAACTAGGGCTGCTGGTTGTTCAATCTATTGATCCATGTCACCCCCACGCGGCGTTCTCGCCTTCCACAGTAACCTGCACCTTCCTGGCCATGTCTCTGACCTCCTGGGTGGTCAGTAACAGAACACCTGTACCTGTCGGACTGACTCTGAGTAACCCAGTACATCAGAACAGCCCGGGAGCCGGCAGGCATGATGCTGTGGTCTGTGTCTGCACAGGATGCTGGACGCTGGTCTCATTCTCCAATGGCAACAAAGCCTTAAGGACCATTAGACCGAGTCTGACTGTCACCACAAAGAATTACTGTATACAGCTGGAAACAAAGTGCAGTATGGAAGCTTAAGAGGGCTTTTAATCAAATATAATTCAGTCAAACAATTAAAGCCAGCAAGGCACATTAAAATGCTGTTTCCAGAATTGTTTAATATATTGCCCTTATAAGAATTAGTCATTTTGGCCCATAAAATAGTTATTTAGTTTATGTTTGACTTCATTGTGTTGTAATTAATGACCCACAAATATATCTTTATTTCAATCTTAACAAATGTATATTTAATACTCTATGAAGGGGGGGTTGTTAAAAGACATTGCAAGCTACCTTTTAAGGATTTTTTTTATTATTATTGTATACGATATAACAAATGTAGTTTATTTCAAATATTTATTCACATTTCATTCAGAAGGATTACTGTAAAAAACATTAAAATACCAGGATAGGCAGCATTAAAAAAAATAAGGACAATTTCAGTCATAAACGCAGCAGAAATCAATGTACAATGTACATTTTTTAAGAAGTAGTCAGTGGAGTTACTGACTTACCTTGTCTGAACAATGTGCTGGTCTTCAGGCTGCAGCCTCCTCCGGACCACCTCAGTCGAGGGTGGCACAGAGACAGGTGAGGCAACAGCCTTACACTGAAAACCTCTTTGTTTGTTTTAAAAAAAATAAACTAAACCCCAATATGAGCTGGTATCTGGCGCCATCTTGTGGTATTTAAACAAACACCAACAGCAAACGACGTTAACCGGAGGCGGAAACGATGAGCTAACGTAGCAGAGTGGCTAACAGCCAGCAGACTTATCTGTGCTGGAGACACGGAAGGGTTTGTTTATTTTTCGCATTTATTTTTGCACTGAGAGGGAAATTTTCGTTTGACAGGATATTTATGTCATTTTGTGGAACCCAGAACGGCGGGTGAGTTTGTCAAAACCGGGTGTTTTTTATGTTTGTTTGTGGTTTTTGACCCGCCGTCCAGATGCTCCCAATTAGCCGGCTAGCTAGCTAACATTAGCTAGTTTATGTAATGATGGCGGAGTACTGCTGCGCACTGGCTGCTGCTAGTTATCCTTTAATTACATCTTATATAAGGTATTTTAAAACAATACGTGCGGGTTTACAGTGTGCCTGTACGTGTGTGTACATAGATAATCACAATAAGCTTAAAACATTAGAGGGAAAGGAGAAATAAGACCATGTAATGCAGAGTTTCACTTCTTGGTCAATTTCCAAAACATCAACAATACTGTGGCTAGTCAGCGGTCAGCGTGTTGTGAGGGTAACTGAGGGTGTAGCAACACAAATCACATGTATTTTCCACAGCCAATATTTCATCTCCCTGTCATTTTCGGTCCTCCCAGCCGCCGCAGCAAATGGGACCAGCCCGGCCCCGGCTCTGGTGCTGGTGGGATGGGGGAGGCTGAAGCTGCCCCCACCGGGGCTCTGGATGCTGCAGCTGCTGTGGCCGCTAAGATTAATGCCATGTTGGTAGCCAAGGGTAAACTCAAACCCTCGCAGATTGGTGTCCCGGGGCCACCTGATAAGGTAATAATAAGCATAATTGGTATATATGTATGGGTATATATGGCTTAAAGACCATAGCTCTGATTCAGGGCCGTCATAGGATGTCAGATGGGGTGGGCAATGTGTATATAGTGTTGGTATACAGCTTCATATGATGTAAACCATATGGAGTCATAATCATATACATTTAATACCATGGTAGCTGTCTGTTTAACATATCTTGTTGTACTATTCCTGTTATTCTAAGGAGGCTTTTTTTTATGACAATACTGGATTAACAGGATTCTTACGTCAATGTGATGACAATATGGGTAATGTACTCAGAGTATATCCATATTTCTTACTCATGCTGTATAATGCTTGATTTTAACTCTATAAAATCGTAATTTTGAAAACCACAGCACCAGTTTTCCATACTGATAAATATCACAACATCCGTGCGGTTATAGAAAATGATGTGCTCAATTGCGTAGTTGATGTTCACCACACCAGACTGCCTGATAATGCGTGTGTCATACTGAAACTGCCTTCTTCAGTTTGTAGTAAGCATTTTTAACAATCTGGAAGAAATCTGACATCATGATTTCTTATCAAGAAAATATTTTCACTCAGTGAGTCAATGATAATGCTGATAAACTCATTATTCGTGGTACACAAAGTTATTTGTTACAGTTCTTTGTGTCAATAAGTATCTTCTCTTTATTCACGTACTGCCATCACATTTTTTTCAGCACAAACCTGCTGCTTGGACAAGATCTCCTCAAATATCACAATGTTTAACACTAAATATTAGTATTGTCTCTTTCTCAAATTTAGTATCAATGGCCCAAATTCATTTGGAGTGACACATACTTGATCTCTTGACTCCCCTCCTCTCTCAGGCTATAAATGTCGGGAAGCCTCCGGTGCCAACAAAGGCTAAAGATGACCTGGTCGTAGCTGAGGTCGAGATCAATGACGTCCCAATCACCTGTCGGAACCTCCTGACACGCGGCCAAACACAAGACGAGGTCAGTGACAATATGAACAATCATATGTCACAGAATTAAGTTAATTACTAGCTTTCTGGAGTATTTATTGATGTTCGCTCTACCTTACTCGGTTTGTCTGCAGATCAGTAAGGTGAGCGGTGCTGCTGTTTCAACCAGAGGCCGTTACATGACGGGAGAGGAGAAGGGAAAAGCTCTACCAGGGTAACTTCTCTCACCTCTCGCTCTCACCTCTCATTTTCTGAAACTGATCATAAAAACTAGTTAATCTGCTGTTTAATTATCTTAATTTTATAGTTAAATTATAATTATCAACTTTTTGCTCTTTCCACTCAGGGATCGACCGCTGTATCTGCACGTACAAGGACAGACTAGAGAGCTCGTTGACAGTCAGTTCATTTTCAAACTTTTAGTATCTGCAGTCAGACATGAATGTATGTCTTCATGTATCATGTAATTAGACTGATGGTTTCTTTCGCTCATTCTCCAGGGGCAGTTAATAGAATCAAGGAGATCATAACCAATGGTGTGGTGAAGGCTGCAACTGCCTCATCATCTTCATCCTTTTCCCCCAGTGGGGCTTCAGTCACAATTTACCAGCAGCACAACCCACCTCCTCCCTCACTGCCCCCCATGACCCACCACAAACCACACTTTCAGTCTGGGGTAAGACAGTTTCTTCTTTATGAAAAGCTTAGTATACGTCCTAAAATGTTTTAGACTCATTTTTCTGCCAAAATTGCTCACAGAGCAGACAAGTCGATAATATTATTTTTGACAAATTGCATGTAGTTTACATTACTGCCAACAATTTCCAATTAATACCATAGTTTTTAGTTTGATTAATGTGAATATTTTTTACTTCCAAGTACCTGTTTGTTTGAAACCAGTTTTAATGTTGCTTAAAGACAGTCTAAAACATTTGCTGTTTTAAGAAAGGGGTAAGTGCAGGTGCTGTTTAAAGCTCTGACAGCAATTTAAGATCAACATGCAGTGCGGAATTGTTTCCACAAGCAGTGTCAGACTTCAGTGATGAATACTTAGAAACCTTGGATGCTCTTTAAAATATAAAAAATCAGTTTCGTTTTGTGAGCTGAAAGTGAAGACTCTGATGTTGGAGCTTTTGAACGCAACAACCTCAAAGACCTAAAAAAAAAGTCGATAGTGTCACTAAGTAAAGCTACTATGATTTGAACTCAAAAGACCTTTGATAACCACTGTGATGGATTACCATGTTTCAACTCACTGTAACTTCATTTCTATACCTCATTACAATAATTGTAAAACAGTGTTTGCCTGGAAGATAGAAGACACACATTCATCAATCAGTTGTAGGATTTTAATTAGTATTGCAGCTAATGCAAAACAGATGTGATTTGTTGAAATAGACAATTGATTGTTATTTGGCTGGCTGTTATTACCTGCAGTAATGTATATAGATATATTAATGCCATTATGTTGTGTTTCCTTTCTCAGATGCATTATGTCCAAGATAAAGTCTTTGTGGGCCTTGAGCACGCTATCCCAGGGTTTGTAGTCAAAGAGAGGGTCGAGGGCCCTGGCTGTTCGTACCTGCAGCACATCCAGGCTGAGACTGGGGCCAAAGTCTTCCTTAGAGGAAAAGGATCAGGCTGTTTAGAGCCTGCCTCTGGGCGAGAGGCCTTTGAACCCATGTACATCTACATCAGGTGGGTGTTGTCTCATGAAGTAAAAAAAGAATAAGAACCGTTGCCTGTCAGAGATGATAACTGCTTGTGCAATAATATGAACTAGCCACAGGGGTGTTTTTTTGCAGCATTGTGGGCTCAGTAAACCAAAATGCAGTCTGTTCTCTCTCCAGTCATCCTAAACCAGAGGGGCTTGCAGCAGCAAAAACCTTGTGTGAGAACTTGCTTCAGACAGTGAGTAATTTCCTGTTACTGTGAAATGATAAACCACAACACTTGATCCAGGTCTGTGCTTTTCCACTTACAGTCCATTACAAGCTTAAGCAATTCCAAATGTATTGTCCACTACAAAAGCTTTATTTGGGCTATTTATTGACTATGGCTAGAGGATATGGTAAAAAAAATCATATTGTGATTATTTTGACAGATAGTATGATCGCAAAATAAAATTTACCATTAATTGAGGATGTGGGGGTGGAGTCTCACATAGTTATTGTTATAGGTATTGTTCTGGATGTGGATGGAAATTATTGTTATTAGCAACCAGTTGTTACCACTCTGACAAACAAAGCTAAAAGTCTGTAAAAAAAAATTGAAGATGCACTTCCTTTGGTATAATGGGTGTTAATAATTAGAACTTCTACAGATGTGCCATCGAGATAAAACGTATCTACAGTTATGAAACTGTAGATAAGTTTTGCATCTTCTATACCACCATTTTAGTTGATAAGTTTGAGTGGTATTTTCTTCAGATGCAGCGTTTTGCACAAAGTACAACAAAGATATAGAAGAAGAGTCTTTCTACCAGGAGGTGTTAGTGAATATCATTCAATCATTTGTATTGGAAATAAATTGTACTTAGTGTTACACAGTAGTAGTACATTTTCATATTCTTGTTTCCTGAACCACTAACAGGCCTTACATACAATGTTTCTCTTACTCTAGGTGCATGCAGAGTATTCTCGCTTCCTCAATCAAATGAGCACAATGATGCCAACACAGCAAGGTAAAATATATCTAGTAGCCTCTCTGTGGTTTAGATCTATCACTTTATCAAGCAACTTTCTCAGCTAACAGCTGTAACATTCTCAGTCAAATGTCCTGTATATGATTGTAGAAGTCGTTCAAAGAGTCTGACTTGATCTGTTTCCCTCCCCTTACTCATCCAGGCTTTGCACAGCCCCCAGTAGTGAATGGGATGCCTCCACAGCCTCCTTACTACCCCCCTGCTGGATTCCAGCCAGGCTACCCCATGCCTGTACCACCACCTCAGCCACAACCTGTCCTTCCACCGTACGCTGTCCCCCCTCCTATACCTCCCACAGCACCTGCGGGTGTGCCTCCACAGTACACACTTCCCCCTGCCCACGCCCCTGCTCCCGTTCCCGTTCCAGCTCCAGCTCTTGCCCCTGCCCCTGCACCTGCTTCTGCCTCTGCTCCAGGCACCATGCCACAGGTAGGACCAAACCATCAAATCTTGCATTTTATAATAATAATAATAATAATACAACTTTATTCATATAGAACCTTTTCATGCAGGGGTTGAGCTCTAGCAAAGTTCCTTAAAATAAAGTGAAGAAACAAGAAAGAAAATTCAAACAAGGGCAAATACAGTTTGATACAACCCATCTATCAAATGATTAACTAACAACATAGGCAGCAAATAGCAAGAACGAGTAGCAGCAGCAGAGGATCTAAGATGCCATGAAGGATTAGAAATCAACAAAGAATTAGTAATGTGGGGCAGTCCAAACCATTAAGAGTCTTGTAAAATAGGAAAGGACCTTTCAAATCCCAATTTCTAAAAGACACTGGGAGGCCAATGCTGGTTAGCTAAAACTATTTTGCTCTTTCTTGTTCTTGTTAAAAGCCTGGCAGCAGAGTTCTGAATTAGAGGTAGTTTATACAGTAAAAAGAGCATTACAGTAATCTAACCTACTTGTAAATAAATGCATAAAGTTTTTCAGCATCTTGTTGGGATAGGAAATAAACAAAATAAAACTGATTTGGTCACCTTCTTTAAGTGGGATTTAAAATTTAAATCTCAGTCTAGGATAATGCCCAGGCTTCTGACTTCCGAGCTAACCTGTGGGGCCAAGCCACCAAGTTTGGCGAGTACTAGCTGTTTGTAGACCAACTAATAAAATTTCTGTCAGTATTGGACTGCATCCAATACTGACAAAAAATCTTAAATCTATATGAATGAGGTCATATTAGTCCTCATCTAAAGCACCTATGTGTAGCATGCAAAGCAATAGTACTTACTATATTGTTTCCCATCTCTGCAGACTCTTCCTCCTGTACCTTTTCCTCCATCAGCTGCAGCGCCACCGAAAGCTCCACCTCCTGCTGCCCCCACCAACCCACCACAGAAAAGACGCTTCACAGAGGAGGTCCCAGATGAGAGGAACAGCGGCCTACTCGGATACCAGGTAACAAACACTTCCACGTTTAGAGCCCCTCATCATTCTCTTGTTTATTTTAGTTTTTCCTCTTCTTTTCTCCACCTTATTAGTTTTTTGCCTTTTGTTTGTACCTTGACGCTCTGGGTGTATGTGTGAGTGTGTGTTTTGTCTGTGTGTTCACTGTCTGTGAATTATCTCTGACCATTTCCTCCTTTCTTCAAATGCTTAATTTGCATTGTTTGAGATAGCATGGCTGTTTCCTGTTGCTCACTTACAGTTTACCTGTGTCTTTCTACTGGTAATATGGAGTTTCAGAAAAAAGCTTTATTAATACTGATGAACTTTAAGTATCTTTCATAGTGGCTGGGAGAAATGTCTGTGTAATCAGACTTGGGGTAAGGTATTCACAATGACAGATGTTTCGCTTTGTTGATGGTATAGTCATTAGTCATATTTAAGTGTCAGGGCAGGGTTTAGTAGAGGATGTCTGCTAATTGCGCTCGTGTGTTTTTCTGCTCATAGCATGGACCCATTCATATGACTAATTTAGGTGCAGGCTTCCCAGTGGGCAGCTCGGAGACAACAGGACCCCCACCGCCAAGTTCCTCTGGCCCACCCAGTGAGAGGGACAGGTACACAGAGTTTTGTTATATTTGTTAACATTTTATTAATGAGAGAATGTGCCAGGCTCAACAGGAGTAGTTAACTCACATCATTTCTCTTTGCGTTCCGCAGTAGGCAGCTAATGCCTCCACCTCCGTTGCCTGTGAATGGAGTGAGACCCAAGATGGAGGAGAGAAGGGCACTGCAAGGCCCCGTGGGTAAGGGCATTATCCCGTGGACTGACAAATCCCTGCCCAAATCCAAATCCACAGTTCCTGACTGTGGACTCTGCCCCCTTTTTATAAGCTCAGCCTCGATCTATTCACAGCCGTAACATAGAGCTGCAAAGAATAATGTAAATCCTCTCCCGGGCCTCTAGGCTGCGTCCAAATTTTAGTGCTTTTACTTGAGATTGTTACATAAAACCCCAAACAGATGTATCAACACAAATAGTTGGCCCAAAAAGCTTTTATTTCTTTGGATTTGAATAATGAAGCCCCGTTTTTGTGGCAGATTAGATAAATGCAGCGTTACACACACTCACACTCAGCCTCAAACTGGCCCTTATGCTTCTTATGATTCTTACAGGATTCTGCTGCTGTGACTAGAAATCTCCCGATAGTGAGATGGAGCTATGACTCGACATCTTTTGTGCATTGTTCAATCTCTTTTGTAAAGATGTCTGATAAGTCGAGTCCACCTTACCGTCCCGTTCTGATGACATCATCAGTCTGGTGTATCTGTCGTTTTTTTTTTGCTTTTCATCACTAATGAGAATCTCTCCTGTTTTTGTGTTTTTCTCTTTTTCTCTGTGTTTTTCTTCTCTTCCATGTATCTCTGGGGTGATGCCGGATTCTGATTGGGGGTGGGGTACGACTCATCCTGTGACGCCGTCCTTCCTCTCGATTGGACGGCCCTAACACTGTCGCTCCCCACCAACCAATGGCTGCTTTCCAATGGCTGCCCCCCTCCTCTACTCTGCTGACAAACTATGATTTAAATCTATTAACTATTTGTTTCTCCCAAAATGTGTTTGGAATAATTAACTTGCACTTGTCTTATTTGAAACATGCTGCTGCTTTTGTTGTTTTTGGTGTTTGTTTTTTTCTCTCCCCATATTTCTCTCCCTCCCTCGCCCAAATGTTCCACCTCTTCTTTCTTCTTCGTGCTTCCCCTCTTCCTCTTTCAGAGCCCACAGTGAAGAGACCGAAAACTGGTTTGGTAGCATACACCGGTGACTCCTCTGATGAAGAGGAAGACCACTCAACCTCCAAAGCCTCAGGGCCAGGTAACCCTGGGGCAGTTCCCCCTACCTCCACCTCCTCAGGCTGGACACAGGGCTATCGCTGCCCTCCTCCACCACCCCCTCGTGCTAAAACACAGCCACAGACGCAGTCTATGCCTTTCTGGATGGCACCGTAAAACAGGAACTCCCTCAGTGCTTTGTGCCGAGTCTTACAGGATGTTCACCCAAACTGAGCCTGTCTTTTTCCATCACTCATCACCTGTTCATCACATGGATGACTCTTAACAGCTACATGTTGGTTGCAGTATTATTTTAGTACTTGAGTCCAAAGGGACATACTAATGTTTTGGAAAACTCCTGTTTGTTTGTTTGTTTGTTTTTTTGGTGCACACATAGTTTGAAAATGAACATTTGCAGGACTGATATTCCAAACTATTTTGTGGATGTATAGATGGTCAGATGAGCGATATTCTGCCTACAGTTTTATTTGGAATGGATTAAAAACACATGCCAGGTGAAGTGTTTGAATATAGTGTCTTTGTAAAAACAGTACCACGAGGCAATGATGTTGTACATCACTGACTACTCATTTTATCCCCATCTCTTAAGTACAGATTTTCCTACTTTGTCACTCCCTTAACGTTCCCTTTTCCCTGTCCAAGTCAGTGACACCATCCTTTTCTATTCTGGTCTTTTTGTACAGATCATATTGGACTAATATGTAGTAAAACTATTGAATTTATTTCATGCTTTTATGAAATAAATAAACTTAATTTATTGCTGTTTGAGCTTGTGATTCCTTGTAACATGTTTTCCTTATTAAAGTGTGTTCTACCACACTTGGCAGAAGTGATCATCGCAAATCAAGTTGGTCACATCTGCCAATTAGCTGTCAACAGTTCTGCCTGCCAAAGTAAATCGTGGATTAAGTGACCAACTTCAGCTTCGGCATTTATATTTTAAAAATAGACCCCTCATTCACGTGTGAAAACCCTTGAAAAACATGTTGAAGGTTTTGTAATGATAACTTTGAACAAATTTCATTAAAGCAGTACAACCTGGACTGTGCATTCTTAATATGAACAAATATCACATTTAAAAACTATGTTAAAATAATGTACACAAAGCAGTATAGCATGATGAGCTACTTATACTGTTAAGAAGGACTGAATGCTGATATAGACACTGCAGAGTTCAGACCATCTCAATCTCTGGCTCTCTTGGAGGGTTTTTCTTGTTGTACTGAGCGATGCGGCTCTCCATGATTGGCCGGAAGTGGCGAATCAGTCCCTGTAGAAGAAAGATATAAAACAAAGAAAATGCATGTAAAAATATAACTTAGTCCTTCAGTGAGTGTTTAATAGCTTCCAGAGATGTCACCTGCACAGGCCAAGCAGCTCCGTCTCCCAGGGCACAGATGGTGTGTCCCTCTATCTGCTTGCTTAGCTCCCAGATCATGTCAATCTCTGAAACTGCTGCTTCTCCTCGAACAAACCTCCACATCATTTTATCCATCCAGTCAACTCCTGAGTGAGAGGACGAGAGAAAAAAAAGTACTCATGCTGAAATCTGAGCACAGTCGGACTTATTGCAAATACCCATGTGGGTTTCACATGGTAATTGAGTATTTTTCCTTCTATAATTTAAGTTTTAAGTTTTCCTTTCCTCCTATAATTTAAGTGGATTTTGTTTTAAAGTATTTTTACTTAATATTCTCACCACTGGCACATATGTAGTAATATGTGGTTACTAAGATTTCAGTTGTATCTTTTTGTATTTAACACCTTTCTCACTGAGGTTTTGTGGATGTGCACGTAACTATTCTAGCCTGAAAGTAGGGGCCACAGAAAGAGTGTTGGTTTTAAGATGAATCAGGGTGAGGTGATTTTATTGTTAAATACAGTTGCAGTTCCTTACCCTCTCTGCAGGGGGTGCACTGGCCACAGCTCTCATGTTTGTAGAACTCAACCAAACGGGCGATGGCTCGAATCACATCAGTCTGGTGGAAAAATACAATTCTCAGATTATCTCGTCTTGTCTCTGAAGGCGCAGTGTATTTTGTCGTGTATGTTATTCAGGGGACCTGCTTACCGATTTATCCATAACTATGATAGCTGCAGTTCCCAGTGCAGTCTCTGCTCGGACCAGGTCATCAAAATCCATTAAAACATCATCGCATACATGGCGAGGGATGATGGGAGTGGAGGACCCCCCTGGGATCACTCCTAATAGATTGTCCCAGCCGCCCCTCACTCCTCCTGCACCAATCGCACGAGAAGAGAGAGGAAGACATGTCAACATCTCAAAGATTAAATCAACATCAACACAGAAGGGGGACTGTAAACACACACCTGCGTGTCTCTCTATTAGCTCCCTCAGCGGAATAGACATCTCTTCCTCCACTGTGCACGGTGTGTTCACGTGACCGGAGATGTTGAACAGCTTTGTCCCAGAGTTCCTCTCCCTCCCAAAGCTGGCGAACCAAGCACCGCCTCGACGACAGATATCAGGCGCCACAGCAACCGTCTCCACATTGGAAACTGTCGTCGGGCATCCAAACACCCCTTAAGGAAGAGAGAAAAAAGCAGTGAATAACCACTTAAGGACTGTAATTACAGTATAACCCTTTTTTTTGTTCCAGTTTCTTAAACCATAATTAACCCCAGTAGGAAACCGGATGTAGGAGCTTGAACCTCACCTATGTCTGCAGGGAATGGCGGCTTGAGTCGGGGTTTCCCTTGTTTGCCCTCAAGAGACTCGATGAGGGCCGTCTCCTCCCCGCAGATGTAGGCTCCGGCTCCCCGCATCACAAACACATCAAAGTCATACCCCGAGCCACAGGCGTTCTTCCCTATGAGCCCTGCCTTGTATGCCTCATTAATAGCCACCTGTTTGAAGAGACAGCACATAGCATAAAACACACAGCATGTATGGATTGACCAACGAGACCTCTACCTGTGCCTCTGTATACCTGTAGATTTGATGACTCGTTGTAAAACTCTCCTCTGATGTAAATGTACGCAGCACGAGCGCCCATGGCTCTCCCAGCGACCAGGCAGCCTTCTATTAGCTTATGGGGGTCATGACGCATTATCTCGCGGTCCTTACATGTCCCAGGCTCCCCCTCATCAGCATTCACCACCAGGTATTTAGGTCTGGGAAGAACAGGAAGGAAATAAACAGAATACATTGTCATTAGTGGTGTGGACAGAGATGCATGTCTCAAGTGTCTCTGATCTTCATTATTTATTTTCCATCTCACTCCTACCTGCCATCGCTGGGTTTGTTCATGAAGCTCCACTTCATGCCGGTGGGGAAGCCCGCTCCTCCTCTGCCTCGGAGCCCGGAGATTTTCACCTCGTTCAGGATCCAGTCTGATCCCTTCAGTATGATTTCCTTAGTCTTGTACCAGTCTCCTCGTTTGAGAGATCCCTTGAGTCTGGTTGGAAGAGGAAGAGGGAGAGAAAGAGAGATCAATAAGTATTTATAATGAGTTTCAGGTCATCAGAGAATATGCAAAATTGCGTTTGTCTTGTGTGTTTTTACCTCCAGTCATCACGTCCATATAAGTTAGTGAATATCCGGTCTTGGTCACTCAGAGGCCCAAATTTGGTCTTATTTTGCTTCACCTGGTGACAGAGAGGAAGAGGAAAGAAGAGTTTGATTGACAAAGCGGCCATGTGCAATAATGTTACTGCAAAGATGGATGCATGAAAATTATCCACCCCTGTAACTAATGTTCGATCGATTCTGTTTTTGATAAATTGTTTCTGTCTATAAAATGTCAGACAATAGTGAAAACTCTCACAGCCCAAAGTGATGTCTTCAAACATCTTTTTTTTACAGTCCATAGCCCAAAGATATTCAGTTTACTATCATTTATGACAAAGCAAAGCATCACATTCTCACATCTGAGAAACTACAACCAGCGAACATTTGGCATTTTGGCTTTAAAAAATTACTAAAACTATTATTTGATTATTAAAATAGCTGGCAATTAATTTTTGTCAAAAACTATAATTCATTATGGAAAATCATTTAAACACATATGGAGGTCTCATATATTTTGTTTTACATATCAATATGTGGAATTCTGTGTTCTCCTTTATTTATAGGTGAACTTGTTAAACAGATTTCTGCCAAATGTTAGGGAATTTTACTGTATTTATTGATTTAAAATTCAGGGTTTTGAAAAAACAATTGGTACAATTCCAATAGTTTCAAAATTACTATTATATGTTAAAACTTTGTGATAATAATAATAATGAAATGAAAACACTTAAAGTTGGGTAATAAATGTGGTAATAATTTATATATTCTGCAATATAGTAAAAAATATATGAGAGTCCACGATACATTTTAAGGCCTTTTCATCTTTATAATTTCAGTGATCACAAAAACATGTCTGCCTTGTCTTTTTATATCCTATATAATTGTCATATGGGACATATTTAAACCCAAAGACAAATTCATCCAAAATATCTAATTAAAGAACATCATCCCCTTTCTTTCTGCTTGGGAAATGTAGTTCCATTTAAAAAAATCTTCTTTGATCACTGACTAAAAACGCACTTGCTGCTTGTTACTACGTGTCGAAACTCACGCATACCTGTATATGAAAGTAGCCATGTAGGTTAACGTAGTGCGTTGTGGATAGCAGAGTGGGTGCAGGCCTACCTGTACTGCAGTGCTGTAGGTCAGACGCGGAGCGACCTGACGCACCACAGCTCCCCACAGCATCCGCCCAGGCAGCATCCGCCAAGGCAGCATCCTGCAGGAGCCCGCAGACTAACACCTCCAACAACCCGGTGTGTGCTACAAAGCTGCCCCCTTTCCAGGATCTCCCGTTTGACTCCTCAGACAATCAAATCGATTTCTGAAACTTCTGCTGCAGTCGGAGTGCGGGGCCTTCTGGTTCAGCTTAATTAGACTAAAGAGGATTAACGAACCACGTCACATCCGATCGTTCCCGGCGGCCCGTGCGGCACCGGGCAGGTACCCTATACACGTGCATGCACACAATTAATTGATCGGTATCAAGGTCACTAGAGGCGCAATCATTAAGGGAATTTGTGCATGATTTAGAGGGATATAAATGGATTACTAGTGTGAAAATAACCATTAAATGTATGCAATGTACACACATAGACCCTGACCTGGACATCAGGCCCCCCCTCCGGAAAAAGCACCGGTGTTACTAATAACATTAAGACTTTGCAAGTATCCCAGTAAGCTGTGACAGTGAACCAGGACCCTGAAACTGAAGCAGCTAAATAAGAATAAGAAGTTCCGCCAGTGTTCATTTCCTGATTCACACCTGTGCTTTCCCTCCTGTGTCTGACATGTCAAAATGTCTTGTTCTTTCCACTCAGTCACATTTTTCCATTATTAGCAAAGACCACAATGATCTTATTGTAAGATAGAGAATAATGGGTTTAAAATTAAGGAAGTGGTAATGGAAAATTCCTATCCCCTTCAAACTATCAAGAAGTGAGCTGTCCAAAAACACTAAGGGGTATTTTAAGGTGGTCTCTAAAGAAATAAATGTAATCTTATCTCTTCTTAAAGATCATCTGATTCAAAAGAGTCACATTATCTTAAGGTTATTAATAGAGTTTTGATAAAAATCACTGAGCTGATGTCATTACATGATTTCCCTTCATCACTGATAGATTCGATTATCTACAGTTTCGGCCAATGACTCATAATAACTCATGATGTCAGTACAGAAATGCCAAAGGTATGTTGAATGCAACTGTAAATATCTTGGCTCTTTAATAACCAAATGTAGGGTTCCTTTCTGTATGTTTATGTTAACGTTTAGGTCTTTAAAAAAAAGAATATTGACTGATTGTTACTCGTTTTTTAAACTCTCAAATATGGATATATAGGAATCAGCCTAAAAGTTCCAGTATTGATCGGTCTCTAGCTGCTAAAGCCCTTAAAGAGTTGTTTTTTGTAATATAAATCAACAAGAGAAACACAGAAAACAGCAAGCTTAGAGATCTTTATTTATTTTCTTTACATTAACTGAAACAAATGATGGGAAAATTAATTCATATCTCTGAGAAGGTTCCACTAAAAACTGAAAAACAAAAATGTATCCCTGATAGCGGGGTCCTCTGCTCAGACCGGACCCCATGTCCCTTCACCAAAGCCAAGAAAACAAACAGCTCATATAGAAACACACACACACACTTCACAGCTGGCATCAGTTAACCCTCATTCATTCACAAAGCTCTGACTGGGAACACCAACGCCCTTCATGAACAGGACCAACCGTCATACTGCCATTCCAGTACGACTGGTTCCAGTAAGGCCAGTAGTTTACTTACGTCACTATTATTTCCCTATTTTTTTAATCTCATAATAGGTTTAATTAATTTGGTTTTCAAATGTCAAATCATGCGATACAAAATCTACAAAATCTCTTATTTTGAAACTACTGGTCTTACACTTACATGAAGGGTGTCAATCGCCCTACAGCACCAAACAATTTCTTCCCATTTTATGTTTTGTATAATCACTTAGTGCATTGCTCAAGGTTTCCTGAGAATAGTTGCAGCACAAAAAAAAATCTAAGGCAACTTCATCCCAATATATATTATATTGACTATTACTGTACATTATGCAGGAGGAAGAGTATTCAACGTATGTGGGTTTTAAAGAAGTATAGTCAATTTCAATCACAATCTTAAATTGTACCAAGTGAGTTAATGGACTAGATATTGACGGTCAGACAAAAAGGCTTGAAGCTCTCAAATATCATAGTGCAAATAAACTGGAAATAAAAAAAAGGTTTACTACACAAGAAGGAATGGATAGTGCACACAAGGCCAGACCAGCGCGACTGCTACACCAGGTTCTGACTACGTGAGTTTCAAGAGAATTGGAAATAAAAAGACGACTGCTGTCACTTAAAGCCATTAATGATTGCATTACACCCTGCAAAGGCCTTAATGCACTGGTCCATGGAAAGCATGATGAAGCTAAAAAGGTTTTTGGTCGAAGATAGATTAACTCAAAAGATAATGGCCCCTTTAGACACATCGGTGGCCGATCTATAAGAACTGCCATGCAATAACATGTGATACAGTACTATACATGTTGAATTAAAAACAGAGAAGCGTGCTGAAAAATGTCAAACAGCAAAAGTCATTTTGTGTTCCAGTTACATCGAGGGTTGTAAACCCCCCCTCCTGACTTCTTCTTTGCTCTGTTCCCTTCTATCAACCCCGGAGGATGGAATGTGCCTGTTTTATTGCAGTACCTGACGGGGTTAAATGTGCAAAGATTGCATTCGAGGAAGAATCGCCAAAAGAAGACACGCAGCCCATAAAAAGGCGTTTAGGTATACGGAGATGTTGAGCCAAAATCTTTAGCGCTATGCAGCTTCTTGTAAGACTTAGACGAGAAGTGGACTGTGATTTGTGCCCAACCCTGGATTTGGTCTCACAAAGGAGTTTCAGCAAAAGAGTCATAATAAATAACAATAAATAAATAAGTACAGAAAAAAAAGGGGGCAAGCCATTCGTCCCCTCAACTTGCTCCTTTTCTATCTTTTTTTTTTTTCAAACGAGGAATCCAAACGAGTGCATTGGAAGACTGAAATCCACAGCCTTTGGGAAAAAAGAAGAATCGTCTTAACATAATCAACATCAACTCATCGACCTAGACTTTGTCTCTTTTGGTCAGGCATTTAACTCAGAGCTCTAGGGCTCTGAAACACTCAAATATGGAAGCAGATTCTTTCTCATGGCTATCAAAACAGTTGGGAAGAATCTTTTCTTCAGACCCAACATTGGCTACAATTCACCTCTCTCCTCTCCTGTTAACTTAAGATTTAAGAGAACAGTTCAACTAAAATCTTTGGTTTAAGCACCAAATCAAAAGCAAAGATTCTACCACAAACAAGAAAAGACACAAAGAATATTATTGCTTACAATGTACAGAACAAGTTGGAATAATTAGACTGCATTTCCACCGATAACCACCAGAGGACAGTGGCCACACAAACTCATTCTTGTGATCTAGGCGATATGACTTCTGAATTGCACCTGAATCAATATATTTATGTTGTAACTAAAATATACATCTTCAAATATCCATATATGTCGCAGCTCTGGATTTTAGTTTGCATAGTGAAAAGCATCCCAGTAACCACACACTCGACATACGCATGTCCAGCTACAAAAATCAAATCAAACATCTCAAACCAGAAAAAACACATAAAAATAAACAGCAAACGAGAAATAAAATTCAAAAGACAAATTAAATCAAATGCCAAGAGCCAGAAGACAAACATTTAAAATATCTCAGAAAACCCGTTTTCCATTTTTTTCTTTTTTATCATTTAGTTGTTTATTTTTTTAAGCGCTCTCTATATTGGAGCAGCAGGTCATTAGTCCAGCCACCTGAGTGAGATTTTTTTTTACTGTGGATGCTTTACCACACAGACACACACACACGTATACACACACACACTCTCTCTCTCTCTCTTTTCACTATTCCTCTTCCTCTGCTTCCTCTTCTCCAATCTCCTCTTCCACGTCATCTGCCCATCGGTCACGCTGCGAAGCCGGCGAGTGGGTTCCTCCTGGATCTTCTCCCTCGGCCTCTCTGCCCCCTCGCAGCTCCAGACCTCGCAGGAAGAGCTCAGGGTAGCCGGCGAGCCTGCGAGGCCCAAGCTGAGCCAAAGCTTGAAGGGCGAAAGACCGCTCCCTCTCTACATCAGCCGGAAACATCAGCGGTGGTCCGGACCCGCTCCCACCATCCAGCACCGTGTGTGGGAGGAATGCAGAGGAGTGGGCTTGTAAAGACAGAGCCTCCAGTGGGTTGGACTGCTCCCTTCCGCTTCCATCCCCTCTTCCATCCTCCCCATGCTCGGGCCCACGTCTGGGCCGCCGTGTGCGCAGCTCCAGGCAGCTGTGTCCCTTGCGGTGACGCTGGAGGTGGTCCTCTCGGGCGAAGGCCTTGTGGCAGAGTGGGCACTCGAAGGGCCTCGCCCCGCTGTGGAGGGACAGGTGGTTTTTGAGGTCATATGAGTGGAGAAACCGAGCAGGGCAGTGCGGGCAGGGGTAGGGGCGCTCGCCTGTGTGCTTCCTCATGTGGATCTTCAATTTATCATTCCTAATGAAAAGAAAGAAGAAGCAGAAAGGGAAGAACGACAGCAGCAAAGTATTATTGAAAGATTTAGTCAGGCCACAATATATCAAACCATTTTGTTTTGTGCACATTAGATGTGAGAAGTCCATGTACCTGGTGAAACGGACTCCGCAGGCAGAGCACTGGAAAGGCTTCTCTCCAGTGTGTGTCCTCATGTGTCGGGGCAGTTTTCCCGCTCCATGGATGATCTTCTGACAAACAGGGCACTGCTGGGGGGTTTGAGACTTCCTTTTCCTCCCACCTCCCACTGCTGACACCGCGGCTCCTCGTTCAGCTACAGAAGTAGGCATAGAGGTGCTTCCCATCAGCATACCATCATCGCCGAAACCCTCCATGTCATCATCCTCTGACAGCTTGTCATTCAAGGGCGGGACCGGAGGTGGGTGGGCTATACGGGGGCGCTCATGGAGCCAGTGAAGGAGCCCTCCATTTAGTGTGGCCCTTCTTCCGGGCTCTCTGATCCCCCTGGGATCTCCATTCTGCCCAGATTTGTGGTGAAGATCCTCCTGTTCGGGGCTTGGTGGCTGGGTAGACGGCAGGGAGCGGAAGCTGTCGGAGGCAGGTGAAGGGTGCGAGATAGGAGAAGCAGGCGGTGGGTTTAAAACAGAGGAGTTAATGTGATGTGGCCCAACTTTTTTCACCTTCTTTTTGTCTGTTTTTCTTCGGGACCCTTTCATTACCCTGCTCTCTCCCTGTGAAATCCTCTCAGTAGCTGTGTTTTGGGCTCTCTGCTCCTCTGCGGTCTCCCCCTCTGCCTCCGCCGTCTCCCCCAAGATGTCTCTGCATGCGTCAGCCACACACTGGATGCCCAGAAGCTGAGCTCCTCGCAGCACATCTCTCATCCCAGAGCTGGGGATGGTCAGGGTGGCAGTGTAGGCAAACTCCAGCAGGGCATCCAGGGCGTCGGGTGCCACGCAGTCCAGCTGGCACACGCTGAAACCACCTCCACCTTCACCACCCCCCTCCTCCGCCCCGAACAGCCGCCGGAAGTAGAGACTGACGGCGGCCATGACGGAGCGGTGAGTTGGGTAGCGTGCTCCACGGGAGGTCAGGGTGAGGTCACACAGGAGCCCTGCCCTCCTCTGGTCATTCAAGTGGGACAATAGCTCATTGCTGTGCTCCGGGAAGGGGATCCCAATCAGACCGTCCTCTCCTGGAGACATTGCCACCTGAGTGAAAGAGGGCGAAGAGCAGGTGAGTGGAGGGACTGAAGTCTGAGCAAATTACAGTTTTGCATGAATAAAATCAGATTTTTTCCCAATGAATTTTAGCAATTCAGGACATTGAAAGAATACCTTTCGCTTCTTTCAGAGAGCCATGTATACACTTAAAAAGTACCTAAAAGTAAAGCTTTCGTAGTGTGACTGACCCAAGGAATTTCTTTCACAAGACGGACAATTTAAACCAGGCTTAGCTACAACTCTACCCCTTATCCTTCACTCCCCACCCCCCACGTACTCTCTCTTCAGATTACTAAATCAGGAGGCAGCGATTTTGACCAGTGAGATGGGGGTTGGGGCATCAGAGGACAAATACGACGGAGATGACGAGCCAGCAGAAGAGGCAAAATATAACAGCAACTAGAAGAAGAAATAATCATTAGGGCAGAGAGAGCGAGAGTGAGAGAGATATATAAAACCAAATGGTCGATAACAGTGACGCGGAAAGGGCGCAGGATTATGCAACGTACTGTAGGTGCTGTAACAGTAGGCAGTAGGTTAATTCCTGTGTGAAACCTTTATAGCATTAGCCGTTTGATTAAAATACCTGGGGAAGAAAGAGAAGGACTAATGGAGGAGAGGAGAGAAGAAAGAAAAGCAAGCGAGGGAGCGGGAGGAAGTGACATACTAGAGTGGGTGAAGGGGGGGAGTACCAGTTAAAGAATGAGGAAGGAAAAAACAGCAAGAGAAGAATAACTACCTTTATGAGGACTGGAATAAAAGTACGTCACGCAAACTTGATGTGCAACATATACAGTGCAATCAGTTGCTAGATTTCATGTATCACAATTCCGTCTTTGTCTTTTTTTTTTAACCCAATAAAGATCTTTACTGGCTGGTTTATCGACACAGGGGTACAAGTGTTGGTAAAAATGTGGTAATGCAAGTCAAATAAGGCCAGTAACTTTTTCTTTATTCCTCTTTGTGACACATAACGAGGCCTGTCTGTAATAGGACACAACAACTCCCTTCTTTGCCTCCCTAAGCTCGCACCTCACCCTGTCCACACCGTACCTGCTCAACAATATCTCTAACACACCTGAGCAGACCAGATTTTCCACAAACAACTCACCCTCCAGATTCCCCCTCCCTGCCCTTTATCTCCCTCCCATAGCAACTGGCAGCCCCCTGGCCATCCAATAACAGTGTTCACACAGTGCCCAGAGGGCTCTGCTCAACAACGGTACATCCACCTGAATAACCTGCTCCAAAACACACCCTATTAAATACACACACACACACACACACACACACACACACACACACACACACCACCCCACACATATACACACACACACACACACACAGGCACAGGAGTATGGACACACACATATATACAGCACATACACACATTGCGTGCCAATCTGTGGCTCCCCCCACCCACTATTGTTATATTTAACCTGTTATGTGACGATCTCGACGCAAGCCTATTTAAAACATATAAATGTACTCCACCCTTTCAGCAAAAAAAAAAAAAAAGTACATTTGTTCGCTATCTCATCCCAGGACACGCTAAAGTACCCAGACGTCTCAAATGTAAATCCTACCTTCCCCGTTTTCAGGGGCATGGGCACAGTCAGCTGGAGTCGAGGCAGCGTGTGTCTCATGGCATCCATCTTTTTGCTCTTTACAACTCTTCTGCCTAGCTCACCTTCTCTCTATCTTCCAAAAAACCACTTTCTTTTCTTCCTATTTCCTTCTACCCTCAGATGTGTAACTTAAAGGTCTGATCTCGCTGTCAGAAGTCGGGGTGAAGCGTTCATCCTTGGGGATGTCTACCTCTTTCACACATTCTGTCACTCACTCGCCTTCCGGTTGTATCAAAAGAGGGTGCAAGTGACGAAGGCAGATTTAGAGATACCCCTCCCCCCAAGTCGCCTACGCGTCCCCTCTCTCCAAAACCCAACGGCCCATTTTCCGAACACTTTCCGATAAACACAATGTCTTCGTCGACCTCTCCCTGTTCAGAAAGAGTCCAACAGGTAGACAGGGTGTAGTATATCTAAGGTTATGGCATGAGTGTGACGGATGTAGAGCAAATAACCTTCAGATTTCAGACCACACACATTAATTGAACAGGTTTGGCAGGAAGGAAACCAGCGTGTTTAACTTAAACAGCTCAGGAATAATTTTTTTCTTCAAGTCAACACAAAGTCAAAATCGAACAATCATGTAAGAAATCATATTGGCATTATGAGTCATATTACACTCAAAAACAAACATTCAGGTAGGTGCAATATGAGAGTTAAACCATATTACAACGTACCACAAAGACAAACTGGTGCTGAAAGCTCTTCCTTTGAAACCTACACACACTAAATGCCACTGATTAAAATAACACTGGGGCCTCTACAACAGATACTTACTGATTTTTTTCAAAACTAGAGCATTTTCATAAGAATTGTCTCTTCAACTTGAGGCAACAAGGACGACATGTGTAGTAGCTAATACAGACGAGTGAGGAAGTTAAAGGGGCACATGTTTGCGTTGTCCCTTGCACACACATACTCAGACAAACAAATCTTTATTTTTAAACCACATTAGAGCAAGTATTTTCATAATGTCTCTCATCCTTGTAAACTGAAAATCTTTGGGTTTTTGATATTAGATTGGCCAAAATAAGACGTATGAAGAGGTCACCTTGTGCTTTAGGGCCTTATTTTCTGACATTTTTATGGATCAAGAGAATAATCTGTAGATTCATGTTTAATTAAAACAATCATTAGTTGCAGCCCTACACCATACACAGATGTATAATTACATGCTGGAAAAAAGATCATGTTTAGAAAAACAATCCCACTGGAAACACACCACCCAAGCCTCTGTAGGGCAAAGTGTAAATGCATCCCTTGACCTTGCGTGTGCACAGCTAGTCGCATTGTAAGTAGACACGATAACAGACCCGAATGTCATATTTAAGGATCACTATCAAAGGTAATCATTGTTTAAATGCATCAACAGAATTGTTTTTACTAATTGTCATGCGCATAAACACACAACGTGTCACCTTTTGCCCAATTTCTGAAAAGCCGTCAATAAACGGAAAATTACTAAAAACACAAACAAAACAAAAAAACAGAAATCTTGAGCAAAGCAGTGCACAGAAGTGAGAGACAAAAGGGGTTTTAGGAGGAGCACACAACAACGCACATTAAATTTCCGGCGCAGGGGAGAGAAAAAAAAAAAGCATCATGGGTGGTTGGTGGTTCGGGCTTGTTATTTTAGGCATATTCCTTAGAACAGACGTGTTCGGAAAATAATAAGATTGCAAAGAAGTTGCAATGATTCCCATCAATTTTCTGTCTGTGAGTCACTTAATACTCACACATCGTGACAAGCGCACGCGCGCACAAACACACACACACACACACACACACACACACACACACACACACAAACTGCTCACTGTTCATATCCCCCCTTCTCCTTCCTTGTCACCTTGTTTCTGTTTTTTGTTGCTAACCAAAGTCATGTCTGCATAAGTTGCTGAATCTTGCAACACATTGTAACTAATGTTAGAACAGCCCACAGGCAGATACCACAAACACATTTTGTCTTACAAACAAAATAATAATGTTAGTTTACAAGCATGTGTTCAACTATTATCATAAAACATAATTACTGTCATTGTAAGTTTATTCATGTTAATTAGGGTTCAGCACCTTAAAGTCAAATAACTGATATCACTGTTTGCCTTTAGGTGTGTCATATAATGTCTTGCCAAACATACAACCACAAAAAAATGCTCACTGAAAACAATTTCAGCTCTCAAAAAAACGACATCTTTTTATTTTTAAGCATTTAACGCTACAGATGTTCATATGTTAACCTTCCAACAATTGCCTCTTATCTCTTTCTTTGTTTTTTGTTCTCACCTCCCACTCTTTGTCGACGATGGAGGAATTCACCTCCTCTGCAACTCTACGGTTTCCTCATCCCTTGCTTTCATTATGTGCACACTCTTCCTCTCTCTTAACAGCGAGGATTTATTTATTGCTTTAAAAACTACCGGTAGTATTTGGAGGTTTTTAATTGTTTTTTCTTTACCTAACTGCCGGGCCACGTGTCATCTACCTGAAGCTACAACTGAGTTGTACAAGCAGACCGTTAAACTAACCAAAAATCAAATGAAACGTGTTTCGAAGAGAATCCACCGAGGATTCGTTTTAACTGAAGAGGAAATGGAAACTTAAATCCACCATTACTGTCCACTACTACAACTCAGTGTAACAAAAAAAAATAAAAAGTCGACACATTGGTTTGGAGGCCAGGAAAATGACAGCAGCAGGAATGACCAAACCTGCAAACAGAGATTTATTCTTCAGTATAAAAGCCGTATCCATCGTCTATATCATGAAATCCTTCTGCACACGCAGAGTGTGTGATGACTGGAACTAGAACTGTTAGTATTATTTTTATGGGTCTTATTTTCCATTAAAGGCTGTAAGTTTTCCCAGTCCACCTCAATTATATCAGGCTCCAGCGCTAAGGGGGAAAATATGACTTTATACTATTCACAGAAAACTGTGGCTGAGAGGGAGAAGGAGAAATGCTTTTATAAATTCTGATGTCAGATGTTTTCCAAAGTGCCATGTTCATGTGTGTGTTTGTGACTGTGTGTGTATGTGTGTGTGTGTGCGTGTGCGTGTGTGTGCGTGTGTTCGTTAATGTGAGCATGTATGGTTGGTTGCATGTTGTCTCCTCAGTACTTAAATAACCAAAGAGTATGGATAGTTCTTTGAATTTAACAAGGTCATACATTAAAGTTGAATGTGAAAGTAAGTGAGTGACAAAGCAAACCTAAAAAAATTTAAATTTTTTAAAAAAGTTTTTTTAAATGTTTCGTTAAAAAAAATGCCTGTTTGGGGATACATTTCTAAACATTGTAGAAGCTCAAATACATTATAAAATGTACTTATTATAGTAAAATGCTCACACATAAGGAGCAA